ACCTATTCAGTTCCTCACCAAGGAGATCCTTGTGTATGACCAATAGGACATTGCAGAAATTACAGCATGAGACTTTGAAGCTAGGTCATAAAATACATTACAGCTTCTGCCTCTCTTTGGGGTCACTCACTCTGGGAAGTGCTGTGTGAGGACACTCAGGCAGCTCTAGGTAGAGGTCCACTTGGTGAGGAACTGAAACCCCTGCCAACAGCCAGCACAGACTTCCTGTCATACTGGTGACCTGTCTCAGAAGCAGAGCTTCTAGGCCCAGGCAAACCTTCTGATGACTGCAGCCTTGGCCAAAATCATGACAGACTCTGGGCCAGGGCCACCCAGCTCAGCTCATCCCAAATTCCTGACCCACAGAAACTATGTGAGATAATAAATGTTTATTTTTTTAAAACAGAGACAGAGTCTCGCTATGTTGGCCAGGCTGGTCTCGAACTCCTGACTTTAAGCAGTCCTCCTGCCTTGGCCTCCTAAAATGCTGAGATTATAGGCATGAGCCACCACACCTGGACTGTTGTTTTAAGCTGCTAAGTTTGTAGTAATTTGTTACCCAGTAACAGAGAACAGAGTTTGGTTTCTGGAATGGGGGTCTGCCATAACAGAAACCTCAAATGTAGAAGTAGCTGTACAACTGAGAAGCGGGAAGAAGCTGGAAGGTCTTTGAGGACAGTGTTACTAACAAAGCTTAAGGACTGTTAAAGAATATTGGCGGGGCACAGTGGCTCACGCTTGTAATCTCAGTACTTTTGGTGGCTGAGGTGGGGGGCTCAGGAGTTCGAGACCAGCCTGGGCAATATAGTGAGACTTTGTCTCTAAAAAAAAAAATTTTTTTTTTTGGCGGGGTGCGGTGGCTCAAGCCTGTAATCCCAGCACTTTGGAAGGCCGAGGCGGGTGGATCACGAGGTCAAGAGATCGAGACCAACCTGGTCAACATGGTGAAACCCCGTCTCTACTAAAAGTACAAAAAATTAGCTAGGCATGGTAGCGTGTGCCTGTAATCCCAGCTACTCAGGAGGCTGAGGCAGGAGAATTGCCTGAACCCAGGAGGCGGAGGTTGCGGTGAGCCAAGATCGCGCCATTGCACTCCAGCCTGGGTAACAAGAGCGAAACTCCATCTCAAAAAAAAAAATAATTTAAAGTTTAAGAGTCTGTTAATAAGAGTCCAATGACCTTTAAGGAGGCTGCAATGAAGGCTTAAAGAACATTTAGGAAAATACTATTGGAAACTCATGGAAAGGAGATCCTTGTGTAGTGGCAGAGAGTTTAGCAACACTGTCTCCTGCAGTAATGTGGAGGATAGGAAATACGACTAATGAATGGATGGTCTAGGTAAGGAGCTGCCCAGACAGAATATTGAAGGTGCCACCTGCCTTCTTGTTACTATTACTAAAATTGAAGAGGAGAGGGTAAGTTAAAGAAAAAACCATTTGAATGAAAAGGAGCCTGAAGTTGATGGGTGTGAAAATTCCCACCTTTCCAGATAACAAGTGATGTTAAAATTAACAAATGGCTTCCATGCAAAGATTAAATACAAGGCATTAAATACAGGAAAATGAGGTCTAAAGGTGAAGCTGAGGATGTGATGAAAACCGTTTGTTAAGATCTCTGAAATACCAAGAAGATGCTTCAGAGGGAACTTCCAGTCAAATCAAGTAATAAAAGCGCTTCTGAGAGCCTTAAAGGTGTTGTGTAGCATCTCAGCATAAGCCCAAACTAGAGAAGGGCTTACCTTGCAGATTTGTTTTTTGTTTTTGTTTTTGTTTTTTTTTTGAAACAGCTCACTGCAACCTCTGCTTCCCGGGTTCAAGCAATTCTGCTGCCTCAGCCTCCCGAGTAGCTGGGATTACAGGCACCTGGCACCATGCCTAGCTAATTTTTATAGTTTTAGTAGAGACAGGGTTTCATCATGTTGGTCAGGCTAGTCTCGAACTCTCGACCTTAGGTGATCCACCCACCTCAGCCTCTCAAAGTGCTGGGATTACAGGAGTGAGACATCACACCTGACCACTTGCAGAGATTTTTAGGTGTGGGTTTTTCTAATGTAGTGAACCCTAAGACATGCAAGGTACCCAGTAAGTTATGAAGAGAATTATATTGGCAGAAACACTGCCAGCTTGTAATGAAAGGGACAAAGCCAATGTAAAAGGACAAGAGCCCTTTGCACCCCCAAACTTCTATAGGAAGCAGGCAGATGAAACTGGAGCTGCAAACATCTTTCATGGAAGAGGTGGAATGACTCAGGCAGATCCATGGAGAATCATTCCTGAACAGGAGTAGGCATCAGAGACTTTCCAGCATTTCTCCAACTGGATTATAGAATTAATACAGACTTATATGTGCCTTCTGTCCCTTGCCCCATTTTTTTTTTCTTTTTTTTTGAGACAGTCTTGCTACGTTGCCCAGCCTGGTCTAGAACTCATGGACTCAAGTGATCCTCCCACCTTGGCCTCCCGAGTAGCTGGGATGACAGGCACATGCTACCATGCCTAGCTTCCCCTGCTTTTGAGCAAGAGTGTCCTACCTTACTGGTTATCCTGTGCCTGCCTCTTCCACCATACACTGGGTGTGTGGAGGAAATAACCTTTCTCTTTATTTAGTTCACAGGTCTGCAGATAGGAAATGCACTTAAGGGCTGGGCACCGTGGCTCACGCGTGTAATCCCGGCACTTTGGGAGGCCAAGGCGGGTGGATTACCTGAGGTCAGGAGTTGGAGACCAAATCTGACCAACATGGTGAAACCCTGTCTCTACTTGGAAAATACGAAAATTAGCTGGGTATGGTGGCGCTTGCCCACAGTCCCAGCTACTCGGGAGGCTGAAACAGGAGAATTGCTTGAACTTGGGAGGCGGAGGTTGCAGTGAGCCAAAATGGTACCATTGCACTCCAGCCTGGGAGACAGAGCAAGACTTCATCCCCCCAAAAAAGAAATGCATTTAAGGAGCTGTAGTTAAGGAACTGCTCACTAGAGCCACATCCCCACCTTGACCTGATTGAGATGATAAGATTCTGTATTTTGAGCTGATGCTATAATGGGATGATGGGGGATCCTGGGAGCCGGTGAATGTATTTTGCATGTGGGAGGGAGGAAATCGCTGAGGGCCAGTGGTGGCCTGTGGAGTGAGTCACCAAGGCAACCTGAGGGTTCTCATTCCCTGGGGCTCGTTCCCATGTGTAATCTCCTTCCACATTGGATAGGGCCAACAGACCTAGGTGGTAAAAGACAATAAGGGGCCAGGCACCGTGGCTCACATCTGTAATTCCAGCACTTTGGGAGGCCAAGGCAGGCAGATATCTGAGGTTGGGAGTTTGAGACCAGCCTGGTCGACATGGTGAAACCCTGTCTCTATTAAAAATACAAAAATTAGCTGGGCGTGATGGCACATAATCTGTAATCCCAGCTACTTGGGTGGTTGAGGCAGGTGAATCGCTTGAACCTGGGAGGCGGAGGTTGTAGTAAGCTGAGATCACACCACTGCACTCCAGCCTGGGCAACACAGCAAGACTCCATCTTATAAAAAGAAAAAAATAAGAGAATGAGGCTTCTACCTTGCCCTCTCTGGAATTATTTGCTCTGGAGAAGCCAACTGCCATGCTGTGAGGCACTCAAGCAACCCCGTGGAGAGATCCACATAGCAGAGATTTGCTGTTTCCTGCCAGCAGCTAGCACAAACTTGCCAGCCACATGAACAGCTTTCTCAGAATGCTTCCTCTAGGGGCAGTCATGCTTGCAGATGCCCACAGCACCACTGACATCTTGGCCACAGCCTTACAAGACCCCTGTGCCACAGCCACCCAGCTGAGCCACTGCTGAGTTCCTGACCCTCAGAAACAGAAGTAATAAATAAATATTTTAAGCCGCTAAATTGGGGGCAGTTTGTTACATAGTGATAGATAACAAATTTGTGCTCCATAATTTGCCTCACTCATTTGTGGTGTCTTTTTAAAAATCCTAGTCCTCATACACACAGCGGTCTGTTTCTGAGCGCTCTGTTGTGTTTCGCGGGTGTTTTTGTTTCTGTTCCGGAACTGACACTGTTCTCACTGCTGCGGCTTTGCAGCCTATCTTAATATCAGGCAGGGTAGGCCTTTCCTCTGCTCTTCTTTTTAAAAACTGACATAAGTATGGGAGGATGGCTTGAGCCCAGGAGGTCAAGGCTGCTGTGAGCTGTGATCACGTCACTGCACCCAGCCCAGGTGACAGCAAGACCCTCTCCAAAAAAAAAAAAAAAAAATGTCCTAAGTAATTGTAGACTTTTATTCTTCTGTGTTAATTTTAGAGAGTCTTATGAGTTTCTAAAAAAAAAAAATCTGGAATTTGCATTAGAATTGCACATTGAATTTTCAATGTTGGGAGAATTGAGAGATTTTGGCATGAAGATTCTAGAAGACAAGAGAAAGAAGCCCATGCATTTGCTTCTGATTTCTTTCTCCAACCTCACCCCACCCAGTGAGGTTCATTCACTGAACAAATCCGTTCATTCATCCAACAAATACAGAGCATCAGCTGTTTACTAGGTAGTAATTGACAGGTGGGAAGAGACAGATCGTAAACAAATATATAAAAATTTTAGAAAAAGTCAAGCACTAAGTGCTGTGTAGAAAATGAACTGATAAAAGGCAGATGTAGAGGAGGGTGTTTTAGCCAGGGGACCTGGGGAGGGCTGGCCCTGAGGAGCCACTGTGTGAGCTGTGATCTGAATGGCATGACGGACCCGCCACTCTCACAGCTGAGCAAAGAAGCATCCCTGGCAGGGGCACAGCCAGCGGCCGTGGTGGGCACAAGCTGGATGTGTGAAGCAGTAAAGCATCCGTGGGACCAAAGCCCAGCAAACAAAGGGAGAATGACAGAGAGGTCGGCGGAGCCCGGAGCCCGCAGAGCCCTGCAGACCACTGAGGAGTCTGCAGTTGTTCCCAAGCAGCTTTTGAAGGCTTTTAAATGGGGAATACGTGGCTTTGGTCATGTTGTTAACCACCTTCCGCTTCTTCCCCAGCAAAAAAGGGAGACGCTGTCCCCGCTGTGCCTCATCCCCACGGTGACATCTCCCCGGGAGGAGCAGCAGCTCCTGGCCAGCACCTCCAAGGTGAGGCCCCTGAGCCCTGTAGGGTGGAGGCTCACTGGGGTCGTCTCCCTGCAGTCTCACCCCTTTCCTCCATCCTCTCTCCCCCACCAGCCCGTGGTGAAGCTCCTGCACAACCGCAGTAACAACAAGTACTCCTACACCAGGTGACTGCGGGGGTGCGGGGTACCGGGTGGGACCCTGGGATGCCACACAGCCCTGCTTCTGCCCAGGGCAAGGGCCTTGGCCACACGGGGGGCCTACAGGAACATCTGCCTGCCTGCTCGCAGATTCAGCTCCGCCTCTTACCCCTGGCACCCTGGGCAGGTCCTTTCCACTTCTCAGCTTCAGCTCAGTCATCAGTAACCTGGGGTTTGGGTGAGCACAAAATGATAATGGCGAGCCTGTCCAAAGTGCTCTCTCTCTAGGAACTGGCAGAGTCTTCCCCCTTGAGGTCAGGACTGTTGTGAGCTCCATTTTACAGATGAGAAGGTTGAGGCACCAAGAGGTGAGGTAACTTGCCTACTGTCACCCAGTTTAAAAGGTGGGGGTGCCAGCTGGGTGCAGTTGCTCACGCCTGTAATCCCAGCACGTCGGGAGGCTGAGGCAGGCGGATCATAAGGTCAGGAGTTCGAGACCAGCCTGGCCAATATGGTGAAACCTTGTTTGTACTAAAAATACAAAAATTAGCTGCGTGTGGTGGTGCATGCCTGTAGTCCCAGCTACTTGGGAGGCTGAAGCAGGAGAATTGCTTGAACCTGGGAGGCGGAGGTTGTGGTAAGCCGAGATCATGTCACTGCACTCCAGCCTGGGCAACAGAGCAAGACTCCATCTCAAAAAAAAAAAAAAAAAAAAAAAAGGTGGGGGCACCAGGACCCCCAGGGAGGTGGCCTGGCTCTAGGGCCCCCACAGGAGCCACCGTGCTGTGCTGGGCTTTGCTCAGCACATGTGGCTTCCCTTCAGAGGCCCACTTAGCCTGGCCCCAGGGACGGAGGGGGCTCCCTGTTGGGCACCAAAATCCTGGGCAGGAGCAGAGGGCTGGGGATACATCCAGGCCCTGGTCCTGGGGGTACAGAGGGAGGGGTGCCAGCTGCGCTAAGGCCTCCTGGTCCCCTGGTCCTCAGCACCTCAGACGACAACCTACTTAAGAACATCGAGCTGTTCGACAAGCTGGCCTTGCGCTTCCACGGGCGGCTGCTCTTCCTCAAGGATGTCCTGGGGGACGAGATCTGCTGCTGGTCTTTCTACGGGCAGGGCCGCAAAATCGCCGAGGTGTGCTGCACCTCCATTGTCTATGCCACGGAGAAGAAGCAGACCAAGGTCAGAGGGGTTTCAGAGCCTGCACGAGGGGCTGGGGGTGGGCAGGACCAGGACCCTGGACAAAAGCAGGAGGCAGGAACCAGATCCTGGAGTCTGGGTGTGCAACATCGGGCAAGCCACCTTATCCCTGTGGGTCTCTGTTTCTTGGTGAAGTCGGGGTCATGGGTTAGAGCAGGCTGCTTAGCCTAGGCCTGTTGGATGGGTTTCGAGGCTGTCTGCAACTCCTGAATTAGTGTGCAGGTTATGGGGGTGTATGCGTTTTTCTGTATAGGAGGTCTGTAGTTGCCATTAGAAACTTAGAAGGGACCAAGCATAGTGGCTCACACCTGTAATTTCTAGACTCTTGGAGGCCAAGGCAGGAGGATCACTTGTGCCCAGGAATTCAAGACCAGCCTGGGCAACATAGCGCAACCCGATCTCTGTTAACAAGTCAAAAAATTTAGCCAGTTGTGGTGGCGTGGTCGTGTGATGGCATGCACGGGTAGTCCCAGCCACTCAGGAGGCTAAAGCGGGAGGATTGCTTGAGCTCGGGAATTTTTTTTTTTTTTTTTTTTTTGAGACAGAAACAGAATCTTCGTCTGTCTCCCAGGCTGGAGTGCAGCGATACGATCTCAGCTCACTGTAACCTCTGCCTCCCGGATTCAAGTGATTTTTCTGCCTCAACCTCCCAAGTAGCTGGGACTACAGGCACCCACCTCCACGCGTAGCTGATTTTTGTATTTTTGTTAGAGACAAGGTGTCACCATATTGGACAGGCTGGTATTAAACTCCTGGCCGCAAATGATCTGCCCACGTCGGCCTTCCAAAGTATTGGGATCACAGGCATGAGCCACTGCACCCGGCCTAGCCCGGGAATTTGAGGCAGCAGGGAGCTATGATCATGCCACTGCATTCCATCCTAGGAGACAGAGTGAGGCCCTAACTCTAATTAAAAAAAAAAGAAAAGAAAAGAAACTCAGAAAGGTCCACTGCCAAAAATAGATTCATAAAACCTCAGGACCAGATGTCTCTTAGAACATCCTCTGAGTTTGTAGATCCTGAGTTATTAACGTGGCAATCATCAGCAGATAGTCCCCAAGCCCCTTCTTTGTGCTGTGTACTGCACCTGGCTGGAAATCAAGGTGAATGAAGTGCTGAGCAAAGTACAAGCCCTTCCTCACGTGGTCTCTTTGAAGCTTACTGTGAGCCGTGTGCCTCCGGTACACCAGTCACCGCAAGCCTCTAAGCACCCAGTGCTGTTTCACCCCTCTTACCTCTGCATACACTGTTGCCTCTTCTTGGAATTCTTTCCTTCTATCTGCCTAATGAACTTGTACTTAATGTTAACACTCAAGCTAAGCATCACTTTCTTTGGGTCACTTTCACTCATGAACTTTCAACCCAACAACCCCAAAGTTGGTCACACCCCCTTCATAGCTAAAGACAGTGTTTATTATCCTGTGTGGGTGGAGGGGAGGGGGTTGTGTCAGCAGTTGGGTGTTAGTTTCTTGAGGGCAGTGCCATGTCTTTTTCTTTCCTTTCTCCCTAGAATTAGCCAGGCCCTTGTCACGCAGTGGAAGCTAGGAAACATGTATTGAATAAATGAATGAATCAGTGACCCAGTTTCCAAGAAACATCCTCTGTAATTGGGAAAATAGGAAGATAAACCAGTAATTAGAGTGCATGGCTCACGCCTGTAATCCCAACACTTTGGGAGGCTGAGGCAGGGGACCCCTTGAGGCCAGGAGTTTGAGGCCAGCCTGGGCAACATAGCAAGGCCCCTATCTCTACAAAAATAAAAAGAAAAAAATTGGTTGGGCATAGTGGCACACCCAGGTACTCAGGAGGCTGAGATGGGAGGGTCACTTGAGGCCAGGAGGTTGAGGCTGCAAGGATCCATGATCACACCACTGCACCCCAGCCTACTAAACAAGAGTGAGATCCTGTCTCAGAAACCAACAAACAAAAACAGTTTCCTAAGAGCTGTGTTAGATGCTTCCAAGGCCACACAAGGGAATGCCCCAGTCACCTCTTCGACTTCATCCCCTTCCACTCTCTTTCATCTCTGCCTCAATTGCATTGATCTTCTGGTAATATATTCCAGTAAGACGCTGGGTACACTCCTGACCCACAGCTCTCACGCTGGCTCTGGCCCTTCCCAGGCTGTCCTTTCTAGCTGTGTGCCTAGTCCCCACCCCCACTCCTTTGGTCAAATTTCCCCTTCTCAGTGAGGCCTTCCCTGGAGTCCCTCTTAAAAGTTCTAACACTCCTGGCTCTGGCCATCACATCTTCCTTTCCTGCTTTGTCTCTCTCTCTCTCTTTCTCCCCACCCCCCACCCCTTTTTTTAAAATAGATGAGATCTCCCTACATTGCCCTTGCTGGCTTTGAACTCCTGGGCTCTAACGATCCTCCTGCCTTAGCCTCCCAAAGTGCTGGGATTGATCAGGAGATACCATACCCGGCTTATATCTTCATTTATATTTTATTTATTTATTTATTTATTTATTTGTGTATTGAGATGGAGTCTCACTCTGTCACCCAGGTTGGAGTGCAGTGGTGCAATCTCTGCTTACTGCAACCTCTGCCTCCCATGCCCAAGTGATCCTCCCAACTCGGCCTCCCAAGTAGCTGGGAACACAGCTAGTTAATTTTTTGTATTTTTGGTAGAGATGGGGTTTCCTCATGTTGCCCAGGCTGGACTCAAACTCCTGGCCTCAAGCTATCCCTCCCAAAGTGCTGGGATTACAGGCGTGAGCCACCATGACCAGCTAGTTTATGACTGAGTCCTCCCACCAGAATGTAACTTCCTGAGGACCGGAGCCTTGTTTTGTTCACTGATGTTTTCTCAGTGCCTAAAACAATACCTGGTGCGGTGCACTTACTCAGTATTTGTCAAATGCAAACATATACCAAGAGATTAGGCAGGGCAGGAGATGAAGGAGAGAAAACAAGTTCTGCATTCCTGACATCACAGCTGAGCCTTGAAGTATGACTCTGCCGAGTAAAGGAGTGGCAGAGAGGCCAGGCCAGGCCCAAGGACCTGATTGCAGGGCTAGGAGGTGTGTCTGTGCAGGAGCCCTGGGCAGGGGGATGGCCATATGTGACTGCACCAGAGGGAAGGAGCTGGGGCTGGCTGGCCTTTTGCAGGTGGAATTTCCAGAGGCCCGGATCTTTGAGGAGACCTTGAACATCCTGATCTACGAGACTCCCCGGGGCCCAGACCCAGCCCTCCTGGAGGCCACAGCGGGAGCAGCTGGAGCTGGTGGGGCCGGTCGCGGGGAGGATGAGGAGAACCGAGAGCACCGTGTCCGCAGGATCCATGTCCGGCGCCACATCACCCATGATGAGCGCCCTCATGGCCAACAAATTGTCTTCAAGGACTGACCTCTGACCGTCCCCCTGCCTTCCTCCTGCCTTGGGACCCAGTCTCCCTCTCTTTTCCTCCCCTTCCCAGACCTTTGCCCCGGCTCTGCTGGTCAAGTCGTGGGTCCTTCTCTGTCCCTTCATTGCATGGCACAGCTCACTTTGGCGCTTCTCCATCCATCTGGACCCCATTGCTAACAACACGGTACATTCCTGCCCCCGCCGCTCAGAGCCTTCCGAAGCCAACGCTTGTCCCCATCCTGCGTCCTTCCCTCTCCAGCTGGTTGAGAGGGATTTAGAATTCCCTTTCTCTTTTCTCAGTGCATCTTCCATGCCAAAGTGTCCAGCCTGCCCTTCCCAACACCACCGCAGTCTGAGCCGCCTCCTGCGTTGCGCAGGGCAGTCCACCCTGTCCTCCCCACTATCCTCCCTACCTCCTTAACTTTCTACTAGACTGGCCTGGGCCTGCCCAGCTCAGCGTTCTCAGTCTGTTTCATATTATTTATTATTTTAATTTTCTATTAAATTATTGGAATAAAGTTGAGTTGAGGAACTGGTGCTGGCTCCTGGAGAGAGGGACAGGGAGATTCCTGCGTCAGGAGGTCTCTCGCCAACTGTGATGGCTTACACCTGTAATCCCAGCTACTCAGGAGGTTGAGGCAGAAGGATCACTTGAGCCCAGGAGTTCAAGACCAGCCTGGGCAACATAGCAAGACCCTGACTCTACAAAAAAAAAAAAAAAAGAAGAAGAGGAGGTACTAGTTTGGTTGTACTGGGAGAACATGAGGCCTTGCCCCAGGCTCTCCCTGGGAAGGAAGTAGTCAGGAGCTAGGAGAAGATTCAGAATTTATATTTCAGTGCTCACTAGCCAGTGCCCACCCTCCGCCCCGCCCACCCCCCGCAGTATGGACTGGCTACCATGAAGCCGTCCCTGAGCGCAGCGTCTCTCCAGCCCAGGAGTGTGAAGGGAGCACCTTCCTTCAGGGGTCTGGTGCGAAGACAAAGTCGAGGGCCTGGCGCTCGGCCCCTGCCACGTTGGGGTGCCAGAGGTCCACGATGAAGACCACTCGAGGCCCATCTTCGGGGGAGCCTAGGGCACATGGGACAGGAACAGCAGAGCCGCTGACATTAGGTACTTCCACACCAGAGCACTCACCAAAGACCAGAAAAGCAAACAGTAAATACGTTGCAGGCCCTGTTCTAACCCTTTATATGTATCAGATCTTTTTTCTTGAAACGGAGTCTTGATCTGTCGCCCAGGCTGGAGTGCTATGGCGTGATCTTGGCTCACTGCAACCTCCACCTCCCAGGTTCAAACAGTTCTGCCTCAGCCTCCCAAGGAGCTGGGATTATAGGCACATGCCACCATGCCCAGCTAATTTTTATGTTTTTAGTAGAGATGGGGTTTCACCATGGCCAGGCTGGTCTTGAACTCCTGACCTCAGGTGATCCGCCCGCCTCAGCCTCCCAAAGTGCTGGGATTACAGGCGTGAGCTACCTCGCCCAGCTGATAGGTATCAACTCTTAATCATCAAAACAAACTATGCTGTATTACCGTAATTAACCCCATTTTATACAAAACAACAGAGGCATAAGGAGGTTAAGTCACTTGCCCAAGTGCAAGAGGTAGAACAGGAACCCAGAGTCTTGTGCTGGTAACCGCTTTTCTGTGCACTTAACGTTATTGAATCCTTGCAGCCACTTGATAAAGAAGGTGGGGGCCCTGGGGGACTGGAGAAGTTATGTGACTTGTTCAAGGTCATGCAGCTGGAAGCTGGTGGTGGTAGGACAGGAAGTCCGCTGGGCCTGATTCTGCAGCCCTCTAGTCTACGCTTCTTTGCTCCTGAGACCCTCACCACCCCCTGTAGAATGGGCACCCTGTTACCATTGTGAGCCACTGTGTGCAGAAAAGAGTCGTCCACCAGTAGACAGTGCCCCTCAGCCCAGCACTGGGGCTCACCGCCAACCACCAGCTCACAGCCAGGAGGGATCTTCAGGCCTGTAAGAAGAGACCCGGGCATCCAGCACTCCTGCCTCCAACCCAGGGGCCCGTCCTTGCCAGTCAGCAGCTCTCAGGGTCTTAAATGCCGGGTTTTGTGGTCGTCCCTCCTTTCTTTCTGGAAGGTGGCTGCAGTATAATCACAATACAGTCCTGGAGGAGGAGGTGCTAGGAGACTGGGGAAATGCTGCTGTGGGTAGTGTGACCCCATCTGTTTTTTTTTTTTTTTTTTTTTTTTTTGAGACAGTCTCTCTGTCACCCAGGCTGGAGTGCGGTGGTGGTGTGATCTCAGTTCGCTGCAACTTCTGCCTCCCAGGTTCAAGTGTTTCTTGTGCCTCAGCCTCCTGAGTAAACTGCTGGGATTATAGGCATGCGCCACAATGCAGTGCTAATTTTTTTTTTTTTTTTTTTTAGATGGAGTCTCACTTTGTCGCCAGGTTGGAGTGCAGTGGCCTAATCTCTGCTCTGCAACCTCTGCCCCGGGTTCAAGCAATTCTCCTGCCTCAGCCTCCAGAGTAGCTGGGATTACAGGTGCGCACCAGCACAACTGGCTAATTTTTGTATTTTCAGTAGAGACATGGGGTTTCACCATGTTGGCTAGGGTCTCAAACCCTTGAGCTCAAGTGATCTGCCCACCTCAGCCTCCCAGAGTACTGGAATTACAGGTGTGAGCCACTGCGCCTGGCCAGACTCATCATTTTATTTTATTTTATTTTTATACAGACAGCACTGGTCTTGAACTCCTGGCCTCAAGCAGTCCTCCTGTCTTGTCCTCCCAAAGTGCTGGTATTTGAGGGATGAGCCTTGGTGCCTGGCTGCAACCCCTCATTTTAGAGAAAAGAGAAGGCTTCCTGGAGGAAGTGGTGTTTCCTCCTGGGCTTTCTGACAGTTTGACTCAAGAGCTTACTGTGTGATAGGCTCTGTCTCCCCACAAGGTATAAGATTAAAGATGATCCTGGCCCAAGGACCACATGGCTGAGTGGTGAGGAAAGTGAGCAGCCAACTCAAATGATGGGACATCAGGAAGGCATCCCAGATGAGGTGTGGCACTGAACATTTGAATCCTGGCGACTGAATAGGAGTTTGTCAAGAAGTGGTAAGGGGGAAGGGGATTCTGGGTTGAACAGAACAGCATGTGTGGCATCTGCCAGGATTAGCCAGAAGGCTTTCATGATTTAGAGCACAGAGAGAGGGGAGGAGAGGAAGGATCTGGAACTGATCCTGAGGTCAGTGTGCCCTGAAGTGTAGGACACATCCAGCTGGCAGCGCAGGGGATTATTTGGGGCAAAACAAGGTCATGGCATCGAATAACAGAAAATTATTTCCTTTTCCATTTTCTTCCAGTCTTTAAAGCATCAAAAAGTGCCAGGTGCAGTGTCTCACACCTGTAATTTCAGCACTTTGGGAGCTCAAGGCAGGAGGATCACTTGAGCCCAGGAGTTTGGGTCCAGCCTGTCTTTACACAAATTTTTAAAAAATTAGCTGAGCATGGTGGTGGGCACCTGTGGTCCCAGCTACTCAGGAGGCTGAGTCGAGAGGATCACTTGAACCCAGGAGGTCAAGGCTATAGTGAGCCATGTCTGTGCCACTGCACACTCCAGCCTGGGCAACAGAGTGAGACCCTGTCTCAAAAAAAAAAAATCTCAGTTTGGTGCTACTGTAACTTGACACCCCACTAACATTGCTCCCTTTTAAAATATAAAGTGTGGGCTTCAGGCTTAGACTAGAGCACTTGACTAGAATGTTCTAGACGGTTGAAAGCTTTTTTTTTTTCTTTTCTTTTTTAAGGCGGAGCCTTGATCTGTCACCCAGGCTGGAGTGCAGTGGCAAGATCTTGGCTCACTGCAACCTCTGCCTCCTGGATTCAAGCGATTCTCTGCTTCGGCCTCCTGAGTAGCTGGGATTACAGGGACACACCATGATACCCGGCTAATTTTTGTATTTTTAGTAGAGATGGGATTTCACCATCTTGACCAGGCTGCTCTTGAACTCCTGACCTTGTAATCTAACCACCTTGGGACCTCCCAAAGTGCTAGGATTACAGGAATGAGCCACCATACCCAGCCTTTTTTTTATTTTTTTATTTTTATTTTTTTTTTTTTTGACAAAGTTTCACTATTGTTGCCCAGGCTGGAGTGCAATGGCCTGATCTCAGCTCACCAAAACCTCTGCCTCCCGGGTTCAGGCAATTCTGCCTCAGCCTCCCAAGTAGCTGGGATTGCAGGCATGCACCACTACGCCTATTTTTTTTTTTTTTTTTTTTTAAGTAGAGACGGGGTTTCTCCATGTTGGTCAGGCTGTTCTTGAACTCCCCACCTCAGATGATCCGCCAGCCTCAGCCTCCCAAAGTGCTGGGATTACAGGCATGAGCCACCTTGCTGGGCCTGTCCAGGCTTTTTATGAATACTTCTATTCAGGGCAAGTAATGCTGATGATAGTTCTATAAAGATTTCTTTTAGGCCAGGAGCAGTGGCTCATACCTGTAATCCCAGCACTGTGAGAGGCCAAGGCAAATGCATCATGAGGTCAGGAGTTTGAGATCAGCTTAACCAACATGGTGAAACCCCATCTGTACAAAAACCACAAAATTAGCTGAGCACGGTGGCATGCGCCTGTAATCCCAGCTACTCAGGAGGCTGAGGCAGGAGACTCGCTTAAACCCGGGAGGCTGAGGTTGCAGTGAGCCGAGATGGTGCACTACACTCCAGCATGGGCGACAGAGCAAGACTCTTGTCTAAAAAAAAAAAAAAAAAAAAAAAATTATTTCAAATAAATAAGTAAAACAAAAGGTCGGGGGATAGCCAAGGTGAAGAAATGTAGGACAGGTGGCAACGACCACAGCAAAGCTTATGAAGATGGTGTGCAGATAACAGAGGCTCAGGAAATGCTGCTGTGGGCGGCAACGGGGAGCCATGGAAGAAGAGAGTGAGAACCAGAGAGCAGACAGCTCTGTGCGGAGAGGAGGGCCTGGGGGGAAAATCATGGAGGCAAGGAGGTGGTCAGTAGGCGGCAGCTACTTACCCAGATGGCATCTGACCCGGGCATTGGTGGGCCCGCAGCGGCCCTCGAGCCGGGCCCCAGGCAGGAGGACGGAAAAGCCGGCATTGCCGAAGGTGTTGGCACTCATAAAGCTTCGAAGTCCCCTCAGTGCCCGATAGGCCCCCGGGCACCGGCGGCAGTTGCTGGGTTGGCACCGGCCTCCTTGGTACAGCAGGAGCTGGTAGCACCCGGGGGCCAGAGGTGGGGACCAGCCCCGAGGCGGAGGGGTAGTCCCTGAGAAGTCCCAGCTCACAGCCCCGAAGTCCCGCAAAATGGCAGGAAAACTGCTCTCCAGGAGCTCCACGTCGTGCCGCTGGGCGTCCCGCGGCACAAAGGGGGCTGAAGGCAGGTCTGGTAGGAAAAGCAGGCCTGGGCGCTGAATGCCTAGGACCCCTGGCCCTCCCCCGGGGCCTGGGCCACCCTGAGCTGCCCGCCTCACTCTACCCATCCCAGCCCAGGAGTAGCGCCGGGCGTAGGCCCGAAGCCGCCGGCTCACTAGGCCTTCTGTCCTAGGTCCTTCCCCGGGCTCCCCAGGACCCCTTGGGCTTGACCCACCAGCCTCGGAGCATCCCACAGGCCCACCACGAACACCCCCAGCCCGGCTCCCAGCCCCCAGGGCCTCCATGTCTTGGGAACCCAGGCGGTAGCAGTACCAGAGGAACAGAGAAGTGAGGGCCCCAAGGAGCAAGGTGAGGGCCGAGGAGGCCAGAGGCAGTGGCCACGGGAGCATTGTCAGGGAGGCCCTAGCCAACAGGCCTGGAGCATCCTCCGGACCCCAGTTCCTCTGTCCTCCCAGGTCCCCACCTGTCCCTTCCATGGCTGTCCCCTGGCTCCCCGCTGGGCTGTTTCCCTTCCACATTCCACTCTGGGCGCTCTCCTTCCGCGGTCCTCTCTCCTCTCTCCACGCTGAAGCTCCTTCTCCCCTCCTTCATGCACCTCCTAACCCTCCTCTCCCTTTCCCTTCTCTCTTCTCTCTCCTTCTACCTCTTCCTCCTCTCCCTCTGTCGCCTCCTCTCCCTCTTCTTTCTCCTTTCAGCGGCCTCCTCTCTTCCTCTGCTTCTCTCTCCTCCCTCAGTCTCCCCCTTTCCTTCTCCCCCCACCCACCCCCGCTTTTCGCTTGCTCTCTCCCTCCCTCCCCGCTTCCTCCTAGCTCCCCTGGGCAGCAGTTCCTACCCCTCCTGGACCTGCGGCCCCGAAAACCCGCAGCCTGTCTTCCTCCGTGGCAGCTTCTTTCTCTCCTGCCTCCCTGCTTCTTTCTCTCCTGCTCTCTCCTTGCCCTCGCTCCTCACTCGCCCCGACCCTGCGGTCCTGCCTGGCTCTCGCTCCCTCTCTCCTACTCGCTCCTTCCTTGGCTCCCACTCACCCTGACGTCACTCCTTCCCGGAGCCCTCTCAGCTCAGCCACCCCCGACCCCTCCCAGTGGCGCTGCGAGTCAACCGGGGGCCGGGGGGGGGGGCGGAGAGTCGTCTCAGGTTGTGTCTCCCGCCCCCCCAGCCCGGAAAGGGCGCCACGTGGGGCGCAGGGGCCAAGGTGCCAGCCTCCAGCCGCCCCGCAGTGCGAAAGAAGGGGCGGGGCCTGAGGGGGCGGGGCCCGTGGGGGCGGGGCGAGCTCGGGCTGACAGCCGGGCAAGCACCCGGCACTGCGGGCAAGGACGCCAAGGCCAGTCCGTTGGGCGGCCGGTCCCTCGATCGGTCGGCCTGTGACTCCCGCTGGCCCTGGGCCAGTCCGGGAGCCCGCGAGCCAGGCGGACACCGAAAGCGGCCTCAGCCAATCGTGGGCGGCGCCGGGCCTGACCCGCCCCGGCTGGGCGAGGGGAGCTGTCCGCGCGCCGCTGGTGCTGAAAAGAACGCTCGGGAGGGAAAATCAGAGCCGAGGCCGCCTGTTAGCTGGCCTGGGTCACTGTATCGAAGAGGAGGGGTCTGTCTCTCCTTCCCAAACCCCGGACAGTCACCCACGAGACTTCTCACAATCGTGGAAGCTGGCCATTCTCCTGGGGGAGGAAGAGCCCATTCCACCCGAGCTGCTATAAAAGGCGAAGGGAAGCCCCGTGGGGAGTCTGGATGTGAACAGGGGGCATAATGGGGAGCCGAGCAGGCGCGAACCAAGCTTTGCAGCCCCTCGGAGCCCTGGGAAGAAGAGATTCAGATTCCAGATGTGCTGGAATGGCAGGGGGAGGGGGCTAATTACTGCTGGGACCTGAGAGTTTCCTTTGCCTCCCCTAGGGGCCGCGGGAGTGAGGATTACAGCCCTGGCTCGTATGATCCCTCCCTCCTCCATCTGCACTTCCTCCTCCTCCCTCCCCGTCAAATAAATCCCAGGCCCCTCCCTTCGCCCGTCCCCAGGATCTGACGTGGGCTCGATACCTTTCTCAGCTTCTCCCTCCCTCAGCTCCAGTGCCCGAGCTTCGGCTCTCCCAGTTCCCCAACCCACCCTTTCCCTTCCCCGACAAGCCCCGCTAGAGCCCAGTGGGGACCCCCCCCAATCTTCGACCCCACCCTAGGCCCCCAGAAGCTGACTTCCTCCTCCTCAGTCCCCCTGCCTGGGGTCCAGGCAGCCCGGTGGACCCAGGCGCCTGAGCAGGAGGGTAACCCAGGCCACCCGGCCCCTTCGGCCCTCTCGGCCCCACCCCCTGCAGCCGGAGCCGCGCCCCCTCTACCACAGAGCCTGGAGCCGAGGACAGAGGAGACTGAGCAAAGGAGGGTGGGCTCCAGGCGACCCCTGCCCAATTCGGCCCCTCCATCCCAAGGGGCAGAGAAATTGTCTTTCTTTGCTGACTCCTACCGAGGGGTGGGGGGGAAGATTTAAAGGGAAAGATAAAAGGAGACGGAGGAAAGGTGGCAGCCAGATTACTTAGAGAGGCACAGAGGAGAGAGATCGGGGTGAGTCGTCATGGGGACTCCCAGGGTCCAGCACCCGCCGCCTCCCCAGCTGCTGTTCCTAATTCTGCTGAGCTGTCCCTGGATCCAGGGTAAGGATATGAGAGTGTGGGGGTGGGCCCCAGGAAGGCACCCAGCGGGGTCCTCCACCCTCCTTTCTCTTAACATCCTGGGTCTTCTGAGCTCATGGGGGAGGGGAGAGGCACAGCTGCTGGGAAAGGGGCAAGCCAGAGATTTCTGGCTTGAACCCGAAGCCCCTTAACCCTCAATAGTGAGAAGCCAGAGAAATTAATGAGATAAGCTTTTAGCAGTGTCTCAGGGGCTAGATCCTTGAAGGAGGGCTGGGAAAGTTGGGGGGATGTCTGCGGAGGCGGCAGAAGCACGGAGGGACCTGGGTGGGAGATGGAGGTGCTGAGAGAGATGCCAGACTCCACACACAAATGTTCTTGGATGTACGGACAAAGACGGATGAGCAGAGGCAGGGCTCAGAGACCAGATATTCAGTCCTCCACTCTGAACCACAGCGAGACTCCAGGGAAGGAGGCAGAGACTGCAGAGGACCAGAGAGAGACAGAGTGAGGGGGTGGGGTGGGAGAGAGAAAAGATAGCCACGCTGCAGAGACAGAAGCCCAGAGAGAAAGCCGGGCACTGCGGAAGCAAGGGCTGGGAGGTGCGGCCAGACCCTCTGCAGAGCCCCAGGACTTAGGGGAGATCACCACTGAGGTGAAAGGAAAGGCAGTACCAGCACCCCTTCTGCCTTGCTGGCGCTGTCCAGGGTTCATAAGCGCTAAGGTGTTCACTAAAGGCCCACCCAGCCCCGGGAGAGGGGAGGGGAGAGAAGAGGTGTGGGAGTGTGAGTGTGAGGGCAGCTGGGAGCCCCTCCTCCGATCTTGGCTCTCAGCTGAGCCTGGGACCCTCTGAGCCCCTGCAGGCCCAGTTGATGGAGGAGGGAGGGAGAGTTCTAGAAAAGATCTCTCTGGAGAAGGAAGGGATGTGGGGGAGTGGAGAAGCTCACACAACTTCTCCTCCTAGGTCTGCCCCTGAAGGAGGAGGAGATATTGCCAGAGCCTGGAAGTGAGACCCCCACGGTGGCCTCCGAGGCCCTGGCTGAACTGCTCCATGGGGCCCTGCTGAGGAGGGGACCAGAGATGGGCTACCTGCCGGGTGAGGGCCCCAGAGTGGCAGGAGTGGCCTAGAGGTGGAGGGAGGGACATGGGCTCAGGGAGATGGGGAGCCAGGCTGGAGAAGAACAGGCAGAGAGAGACTGCAGAGGAGGCAAGAGCCTGCAGGAAGGCGGATGAGATTCAGGGGACACAGAATGAGACCGTCAGAGAAAGTCAAACCTGGGCACAGACAGAACCAGAGAAATAGAGACAGAATGATTCTGAGATTGTTAGACAGAAAAACAGACACATAGAAAGAGAGATGGAAAATGAGAACCAGAGTCAGAGAAATGCGGAAGACAGAGGGAGAGAGAATGAAACACAAAAACTAGTGGATCTTGAATCATGAAATCAGACTGCAATCAGAATACTAAACAGGGAAACAAGGAAATAGTTCCAGAGAGAGCGAGACAGAGGAGAGAGGAGATAACCAAAGAGAGCCCGATCTGAACGATCTGACCAGGAGGCAGAGAGAGGCTCTCGGAGAGAAGCATCAGGGTGGAAGGGGCTGGGTGGAGAGAAGGGATAGGAAATAGAATTGGGGGAACTCAGGCTGTGGAAGCCTTCGGAGGATGTGAGGGGTTGGGGTGGGGAAGGGAAAAGTGGGGTGCTGTACCTTGTAGGGGAGGCTTTTGGGGTACAGCAGGGGAACCCCTAGTTTCCCTTAGCCCTGCTCCCCACCCAGGGTCCTCCATGTGCTCCTCCTGTGCCCTGACGTTCCCTCTACTGTCCCAGGATCTGAACTGGACCCCACACTAGCCACCCCTCCGGCTGGCCAGACTCTCGCGGTGCCCTCCCTGCCACGGGCCACTGAGCCAGGGACAGGGCCTCTGACAACAGCAGTCACCCCTAAGGGAGTCAGGGGGGCCGGCCCCACCGCACCAGAGCTGCTGACCCCACCCCCAGGAACCACAGCCCCGCCCCCACCCAGCCCTGCCTCCCCAGGACCTCCCCTTGGGCCTGTGGGAGGAGAGGAGGAGACCACGACCACCATCATCACCACGACAACTGTTACCACTACAGTGACCAGCCCAGGTGAGGCAACAGCAAGGGGATGGGGGTGGGAGCACCACTGAGGTACATGCTAGGGAAGGATGGGAGAGAGGCTGCTGGGAACTGTGGAAGGAGTCCTGGGTACAGATGGGAGGACTTCTGATTAATAATAACAAAGGAAGCATTTCTGTACCCTTACTACGTAGCAGGCAGCATTCCATGTGTTTCAGCTATATTACAGTTGGGGAAGGGAGTTCTGGCTCAGGTGGGAGAGGGAGCATTGCTTAAAGATGGTGAGGGAGTGCAGCAGCACACACCTGTAATCCCAGTGCTTTGGGACGCCGAGGCAGGAGGATCGCTTGAGGCAGGTGTGAGTCCAGCCTGGGAAACATGGCAAGACCCCATCTCTACAAAAAATTTTAAAAATTGGCTCAGCGTGGTGATGCGCACTTGTGGTACCAGCTACTCTGGAGGCTGAGGCAGGAGGATTAGTTGAGCCCAGGAGTTTGAGACTGCAATGAGCCATGATTGCCCCACTGCACTCTAGTCTGGGTGACAGAACAAGACCCTGCCTCAAAATACAACAAAAAATGGTGAGAGATGCTGAGGGGAAGGCAGATGAAGGCCTTCAGAGGTGCTTGGCTGGGAGGGCAAGAGCTGCCTTCCATCCAGGCCATTTGTGTCTCCTCAGTTCTGTGTAATAACAACATCTCCGAGGGCGAAGGGTATGTGGAGTCTCCAGATCTGGGGAGCCCTGCCAGCCGCACCCTGGGACTCCTCGACTGCACTTACAGCATCCATGTCTATCCTGGCTACGGCATTGAGATCCAGGTAACTGGACCAAAGCATGTGACCGTGCGGCTTCCAAGCCTTTTCCTCTGGGCCTGTGGGTATGCACAGGTTTGGCCCGGGAGCCAAAGAACCTGTTTGATGATTCAGGTGACCTCAGAAACTCTTCTAGCTTTCTACAACTTGGGCAGCAGCACGGTGCCATCTGGCTGCTACACACAGGGCAAAGGCACAGGAGAGGGGCATCGAAGATCAACCCCCTGGCTGACTTGCCCTGGCGGGTCTGTGTCTGGCTTTCATAGGTGCAGACACTGAACCTGTCGCAGGAGGAGGAGCTCCTGGTGCTAGCTGGTGGGGGATCCCCAGGCCTGGCCCCCCGACTCCTGGCCAACTCGTCCATGCTTGGAGAAGGGCAAGTTCTTCGGAGCCCAACCAACCGGCTGCTTCTGCATTTCCAGAGCCCACGGGTCCCAAGGGGCGGTGGCTTCAGGATCCACTATCAGGGTGAGGAGTTTGAGGGTGCTGCTGGAAGGGCAGGGACCATACTGCACACAGGGGACATTTTCACGGACCAAAGAGGCACAGGGTGCTGAGGGGAGCTTTTCCTCCTTTCTGCAACCCTGGGGGGCAGGGCCCTCAGAGGAGACCCAGGCACATTTATCTCACACACTCACAGATCTGTGCACACATCCAAGGGGCAATTCATCCATTGAACCCAACAAATGTTTATCAACTGCTGGCTTCATACCAGCCCCTGTGTTAGCCTTGGAGGAGGAATGAACAAAACCAGGTATAAATCTGGCTTCAACGAGCTCAGAATCTCGGTAGGAAGACAGAAGAGTCAGCAGGATGGTTATAATTCAAGGAGATAAGGAATATGATGGAGGACACACCAGCGGGGGCAGCATACAGCTAAGGGACCTAAATTTCTCCCAAGGAATATGGGGACATCTTCTTGGAGGAGATGATGACTAAGCTGAGACCCAAAGGATAAATTCGCCAGGGAAAGGGTGTGAGGGAGGGAGAGAAGGAGGGAGGCAGATGGCTAGGTGGATGAAAAAGCACACTCCAAGACCCAGCAAGAGAAGTTGTGACCCACAGATGAGGTGAAGGAATTCAGCATGAAAGATAGAACTGTCCTAGCTGTGTGATCTGGGACAAGTTACTTAACCTTTCTGTGCCTCATGATCTCATCTGAAAAATAGGGATCACAATACTTGGCATTTTGGGGAAGATCAAATGAATTAATACATGTCAAGTGTTTGAAACAGTGTGGGGCCTGGTGTGGTGGCTCATGCCTGTAATCTCAGCACTTTGGGAGGCTGAGGCGGATGGATCACCTGAGGTCAGGAGTTCAAGACCAGCCTGGCCAACATGGCAAAACCCCATCTCTACTAAATATACGAAAATTAGCCGGGCATAGTGGCAGGCACCTGTAATGCCAGTTACTTGGGAGGCTGAGGCAGGAGAATCGTTTGAACCCAGGAGGTGGAGGTTGCAGTGAGCTGAGATTGTGTCATTGCACTCTAGCTTAGGCGAAACTCCATCTCAAAAACAAAACAAAACAGTATGTGGTACACAGAGAGACTTCAAAACTGTCAGTCACTGCTATTACCATCAAAGCACAGAAAGAGATGAAAGAGAAACAGGCCAGAGACCAGGATGGGAGGCAGGTCAGCTTCAAACCATAAAGAGCCTTATCTGCTTCAGTAAGGAGTTCAAATTACTTCAACCTGCAGTTGTGACAGGGAGACATTTGTTTTTGTTTTTGTTTTTTTTTGAGACAGTCTTACTCTGTCACCCAGGCTAAAGTGCAGTGGTGATGATCTTGGCTCACTGCAACCTCTGCCTCCCGGGTTAAAGTGATTATCTTGCCTCAACCTCTTAAGTAGCTGGAATTACAGGCACCTGCCACCACACCTGGCTAATTTTTATATTTTTAGTAGAGAGGGTTTCACCATATGGGCCAGCTGGTCTCGAACTCATGACCTCAAGTGATCCACCTGCATCACCCTCCCAAAGTGCTGGGATTACAGGTGTGAGCCATTGCGCCAGGCCTAATTTGAAATGTTTTAAGCAGGAAAGTGAGAACCTCAGATTTGCAACTTGGGTATGTTCTAGCATACATGTGTGCATGAGACTGCTATCTTCCTATGCTTCATGGAGACAGAGCGAGAACAATGTGTCCAGTCAGTGTCCCCTTGACATCACTGCATGGCCTTGGCTGCTGTCATGCACTCTGCCCTCCTTGCAAGCTCTGCTGACTGCAGATGCCTTGTTTGCCTTATCCAGGATACACCCTGAATCCTGTTCTCACGTCCTCTCCAGCCTCTCCTGAGGCCTCTGCTCAGGACCTGCCCCAGGGGCTCATGTGTGTGTGTGCGTAGCAAAGGTGCCTATTCGTGACAGGTGGGAGAGGGCAGTGAGCTGGGGCGTGTATTTGGCAGTAGGGACCTGTTTATTTCGGAGCAAGAGCTTGCCTGGAGGGCCAGGGCGAGTGCTGGACTTCAGCTATTGCCATATCTGAAGATAGGGCTCCCCACTGGCTCCTTTAAGCAGCCACTTCCCCAGGGCATTGAAAATAGGACTCCTTAGGCTAAGTGGAGCATTTGGGGAAGCAGGGCTATTGCATAAATTGGCCTTCATTGCTCGGTCTTTCCTGCTTTGCAGCTGCGCCGGGCACCTTTGGGACCAAGGCCCTGTTTCAGCCCTTTCCAACCTGCACTAGCTGGGGCCTCTGGTCCAGAGTGGCCTCATTAGCTTCTCTGAAAAGCCAAAGGTTCCCTCACCCCTCACCCCAAGTGCAGCAAACTTTCCCATTCCAAAGCCCTTTCACCAGCGGTTGTTTCATTTGCTTCTCACAGCAACCCCGAGAGTGGCCATTGTCGGTTCCTTCTCTCAAAGGAAGAAAACGACTCAAAGGTTATGTAGATTGCTCAGCCACCTGCACGTTTATTGCAGCCAGACACCAGATCCCTGAGTCCCTGGCTCCCAGTCATTCATTAATTGAGGCTGAGGGGTGGGTGATTAACATTTTCTCAGCAGCTTCTATGTGCCAGGTGCTTTGCGTGTTTCTTTTATTTAATTTTCAGGCCAATCCTCGCTGATAGGAATTATTATTGCTGTTAATAGGTGAGAAGCCCCTAGAGATGAAGTCACCTGCTCAAAGTCATGTAGTTAGTAAGTTCTGGAACTGGAACTGGAACCCGGGCCTACCTGAAAACAAATCCAGTGGTCTTTGCACCATTCCATGCTGCCTCTCTGCTGCACCCATTGATCAGCCAAGCTAGCCATTTTTTTTTTTTTTTTTTTTAAAGACAGAATCTTGTTCTGTTGCCCAGGCAGGAGTGCAATGACATAATCTCGGCTCCCTGCAACCTCTGCCTTCTGGGTTCAGGTGATTCTCCTGTCTCAGCCTCCTGAGTAGCTGGGATTACAGGTGTGTCCCACCACACCCGTCTGATTTTTTGTATTTTTAGTAGAGACGGAGTTTCATCATATTGGCCAGGCTGGTCTCAAACTCCTGACCTCATAGACTAGCCTTTTATGACACAAAATAAATAAGGCTTGGGCCAGTGGTAAAAGATCGTGGTTATGCCAGGCACAGTGGCTCATGCCTGTAATCCGAGCACTTTGGGAGGCCGAGGTGGGTGGATCACCTGAGGCTGGGAGTTCAAGATCAGCCAGACCAACATGGTGAAACCCCGTCTTTAAAAAAAAAAAAAAAGTTATAAAAAAGAAAAGAAGTAGAATGTGCTGTGCTGCATTTAACTGTGGAAGGGACTTGAATGTCAAACTAAAGCATTCAGACTCGATTCTGTTGACCACGGGCAGCCATTACAGAGGCTACCATGTATTGAAACCACTGTGTTCTAGAAGGTTGTTCTTTATTTTTTTTGAGATGGAGTTTCGTTCTTGTTACCCAGGCTGGAGTGCAATGGCGCGATCTCGGCTCACCGCAACCTCCGCCTCCTGGGTTCAGGCAATTCTCCTGCCTCAGCCTCCTGAGTAGCTGGGATTACAGGCACGCGCCACCATGCCCAGCTGATTTTTTGTATTTTTAGTAGAGACGGGGTTTCACCATGTTGACCAGGATGGTCTCGATCTCTTGACCTCGTGATCCACCCGCCTCGGCCTCCCAAAGTGCTGGGATTACAGGCGTGAGCCACCGCGCCCGGCCGAGAAGGTTGTTCTTATGTCTATCTCAGTAGACGATGGACTCCTGAGGACAAGGCCTGGGTCTTTTTCACCTCTTTGTCCTCAGGACCCAACCAAGGAAATATTTGTTGAATTTTGACATAGGGAGAAACCAGGTCTCTTACAGAATCACTGAGGGCCAGAGAGACAGAAAAAGTGAAGGCCCAGCCAAGCCGGTGTCTCCAGAGCCCTCTGCTAACCAGAGCCTGCCCCTCCTACAAGACACAGCTTAGTTAGGCACAGTGGCTCACACCTGTAATCCCGGCATTTTGGGAGGCCAAGGCAGGAGGATTGCTTGAGTCCAGGAGTTCGAGACCAGACTGGGCAACATGGTGAAATCATTATTTTATTATTATTTTTTAAGACGGAGTTTCACTCTTTCACCCAGGCTGGAGGGAAGTGGCATGATCTTGACTCATTACAACTTCTGCCTCCTGGGTTCAAATGATTCTCCTGCCTCAGCCTCCCGAGTAGCTGGGACTACAGGGGCCCGCCACCACACCCAGCTAATTTTTGTATTTTTAGTAGAGATGGGGTTTTGCCATGTTGACCAGGCTAGTCTCGAACTCCTGACCTCAGGTGATCACCTGCCTCAGCCTCCCAAAGTGGTAGGATTACAGGTGTGAGTCACTGCACCTGGCCTAATTTTTTTTTTTTTTTTTTTTTGAGTATTCAGGCGTAGTGGCACATGCCTATAGTCCTAGCTACTCAGGAGGCTGAGGTGGGAGCATCGCTTGAGCCCATGAGGTTGAGGCTGCTGTGAGCTGTTGTCACACCGCTCCAGCCTGGAGACAGAGGGAGACTCTTTCTCAAAAAAAAAAAAAAAAAAAAAAAAAAAAAAAAAAAAATCATTTACTAACAAGTGACTTTTTATTTATTTCTTTGCTTGTTTCCCATGTTTTTTTTTTGTTTTGTTTTGTTTGTTTGTTTGTTTGTTTCTAGAGATGGGGTTTCACCATGTTGGCCAGGGTGGTTTTTGAATTCTTGACCTCAGGTGATCCGCCTACTTCGGCCTCCCAAAGTGCTGGGATTACAGGTGTGAGCCACCGCACCCAGCATTTCCCATCTGTTTCTACAAGAATTTCAGGAGGCTTTCAAAAAATAGGCAAGCAATGCAATTATATAGAATAAGTAAGAAAAAATGGCACCAACTCTAATGTTTATCAGAGTTGAAAAAAAGCTTGACCATTTTTGCTAGGGGCAAACATTCATCTGGTTCCAAGCTTCCTGGCAACAAGTGCAAAAAGGGAAATCCTATAGTTCTCACAGAAAGAAAGGAGACGGTAAATAAGTTCCTCAAGAAAAGCAAAGCTTTCCCTTGCACTTTACTTTCACTGGGGGATTCATTTAGAGGCCACTGAGTATTAAGATCTTTAAAGACAAAATAGCTGCCAGGCTCAGTGGCTCACCCCTGTAATCCCAGCACTTTGGGAGGCAGAGGCAGGTAGATCACATGAGGTCAGAAGTTCAAGATCAGCCTGCCCAACATGATAAACCCTGTCTTTACTAAAAATACAAAAATTAGCTGGGAGTGGTGGTGCATGCCTGTAGTCCCAGCTACTCAGGAGGCTGAGGCAGAGAATTGCTTGAACTCAGGAGGCAGAGGTTGCAGTGAGCCAAGATCGTGTGTCATTGCACTCTAGCCTGGATGACAGATAGAGATGCCTCCTCAATAAAAAAAATAAATAAATAAACAAATGAAGACAAAATAGTCAAATTTCCTCAAGAAGTTTCATGTTTGCTTGAGGCCAGGACTTCAAGACCAGCCTAGGCAACATACTGAGACATCGTCTCTACAAAAAAATTAAAAATTAGTGGGGCTGTCTGGGCACAGTGGCTCATGCCTGTAATCCCAGTACTTTGGGAGGCAGAAGTGGGCGGATCATGAGGTCAGGAGTTCAAGACCAGCCTGACCAATATGGTGAAACCCCGTCTACTAAAAATACAAAAAGTATCTGGGCGTGGTAGCACGTGCCTGTAGTCCCAGCTATTCCAGAGGCTGAGGAAGAATAGCTTGAACCCGGGAGGTGGAGGTTGCAGTGAGCCAGAATCGCACCACTGCACTCCAGCCTGGTGACAGAGTGACACTCCATCTCAAATTAAAAAAAAAAAAAAATTAGTGGGCCATGGTGGTACAAACCTGTAATTCCAGCTACTTGGGAGGCTGGGTCAGGAGGATTGCATGAGGCCAGGAGTTCAAGGTTCCAGTGAGCTATGATCATGCCACTGCACTTCAGCCTGGGCAACAGAGTGAGACCCTGTCTCAAAAAAAAAAAAAATTCAGATGGTTCTTCTGCATGGAAGCTGAGGGTATACCAAGGGTACCTCAGTGGAAGAAAGGCTGTGTGTGTGGAGGGGGGAAAAATGCAAAGAGATGTTTAATAACTTGGAGCCTCAGTGTCCACATCTGCAAAACAGGCAAACATATTTTTTTTTTTTTTTTTTTTTTTTTTGAGACAGAGTTTTGCTCTTGTCGCTGAGGCTGGAGTGCAATGGTACAATCTCAGCTCACTGCAAACTCTGCCTCCTGGGTTCAAGCGATTCTCTTGCCTCAGCTCCTGAGTACCTGGGATTACAGGTGCCTGCCACCATGCCCAGCTAATTTTTGTGTTTTTAGAGAAATGGGGTTTCACCATGTTGGCCAGGCGGGTCTCAAACTCATGACTTCATGATCCACCCACCTCAGCCTCCCAAAGTGCTGGGATTACAGGCACTGCACTCAGCCAGGTCATATCATCTTTCTCTGTGTACCTCAAAAGCTCTGCAAATACCATCTGTTATTGTTAGAGCTGCTGAAGTTGAGAGTAGTTCATAGTGCATTTATTTGCCTGAGGTCACACAGTAAATAAGTAGCGGGGTCCAGAATAACTTGTTTGAACCTCAGATACCTCATCTATAAAATGGGGGCCAAAAAGGGTAAATTACAAAGAGTAGGGGAGATACGGGATGTTGGAATCTCCTCTTTGTGAGGCAAGGTGCCGGTGTGAGGAGCTCTTGTTCCTCAGTATGTGGGCCGGTATGGAGCCAGCGTGTGCCCCTGGCGGGTTGGCCTGGAAGGAGTGGGGAAGTGCTGGGGGATTGGTACGAGAGGGTGGCATGGGAAAGTGAGTCCTGCTCCCCTCTGCTCTGTCTGGTGCAGCCTACCTCCTGAGCTGTGGCTTCCCTCCCCGGCCGGCCCATGGGGATGTGAGTGTGACGGACCTGCACCCTGGGGGCACTGCCACCTTTCACTGTGATTCGGGCTACCAGCTGCAGGGAGAGGAGACCCTCATCTGCCTCAATGGCACCCGCCCATCCTGGAATGGTGAAACCCCCAGCTGCATGGGTGAGTCTCCTGCCACAGTAGGTGGGGGCATCTGTCCTGGGAACCCCATTGGGAGGATCCAATCTCTGGAGTGTCCATCTTTGGGGAAAACCCATCCTGAAAGGGGTCCATCTACCCTGTGGAGTCCCCGTCCTGGGGTCTCCAGCCAGAACTCTTTACACGGAGGGTCTCTCTCCTTGGGGTGTCTCCATCTTTGTGTGGTCTCCATCTCAGGGTTCCCACTGGAGATTTTATTTTGGGAGCCACCATCCTGGAGGTCCCCTCTGGGGGAGCGACCTCATCCTAGAGGAAGCCATTCTTAGGGTTCACGTTCAGAGGGCTTCTATCCTAGAGAGCCTCATCCTGGGATTCCCATCCCATGGCATCTTCATTCTGAAAGTCCCAGCTTGAAGATTTCCCAGCTGAGGCTTTCAATTTTAGGGATCCCTGTAACTCCCCATCCTAGGGTATCCACAGCTGGGGAGTCCTCATTTTAGTGGTGTCTCCATCGTAGGAGGTGTCAATCCTGGGGTTCTCCTGTTTCAGGGCTGGTTTCTCTCCTGGCTCATGGCCTGGAGAAGGTCCTGTCCTCTGGGGTGACTTCATGGGACAGAGGCCAGCCCTGGGCCAGGTCCCAGCCAAGGGTGGGACACAACAGCTATGAAAATGGGCAGAGGCATCGAGGAGACGGACAAGTCACCTCAGGCTGGCCTTAACCTGCCCCTCCTTCTGCCCACAGCATCCTGTGGTGGCACCATCCACAATGCCACACTGGGCCGAATCGTGTCCCCAGAGCCTGGGGGAGCTGCAGGGCCCAACCTTACCTGCCGTTGGGTCATTGAAGCAGCTGAGGGGCGCCGGCTGCACCTGCACTTTGAGAGGGTCTCGCTGGATGAGGACAATGACCGGTGAGGGTCTGGGGCTTGGGTCAGAAGTCCCCACCTCGGGGAAGTAGGAAGGCTAAGTGGGGACTCTGACACAGCAGGGGTGTGGTTGAGATATGCATCACAGTTTAGTCCTAAGCCTTTCTTGGGAAGCGTAGCTGTGCAACCTTAGACAAATCATTTAACTTCTCTGTGCCTCAGTTTTCTCGTCTGTAAAATGGAGATAACAGTACCTCCTTCTTCAGGTTTCTGTGAGGATAAATGCATGAAGTTATGTAAAGTAAGGCCGGATGTGGTGGCTCATGCCTATAATCCCAGCACTTTGGGAGACCGAGGCCTGTGGATCACGAGATCAGGAGTTCAAGACCAGCCTGGCCAGCATGGTGAAACCCTGTCTCTCCTAAAAAGTACAAAAATTAGCAGGGCACAGTGGCAGGTGCCTGTAATCCCAGCTACTCAGGAGGCTGAGGAAGGAGAATGGTTTGTACCCAGGCGGCAGAGGTTGCAGTGAGCCAAGATCCCACCATTGCACTGCAGCCTGGTGACAGTGTGAGACTCCACTAAAAAAAAAAAAAAAAAAAAAAAAAAAAAAAATTCCTTAGAATGGTGCCTAGGACAATAAGCACTATAAATGTATCTGCTAGCTACTTTTGTTTTTTTGGAGATGGAGTCTCGCTCTGTCACCCAGGCTGGAGTGCAGTGGCATGAATTCAGTTCACTGCAACTTCCACCTCCCAGATTCAAGCGATTCTTGTGCCTCAGCCTCCTGAGTAGCTGGGACTATAGGCACGAACCACCATCCCTGGCTAATTTTTGTATTTTTAGTAGAGACAGGGTTTTTACCATGTTGGCCAGGCTGGTCTTGAACTCTTTACCTCAGGTGATCCACCCATCTTGGCCTCCCAAAGTGCTGGGATTACAGGTATGAGCGAGCCACTGCACCTGGCTGAGCATCTGCTATCTTCATCATCATTATCATCTTTTACCTAGCAACCTGGTATCCCAGCACTGCCACTACTTGCTCTGTGACCTTGGGGATGTTATTTGATCTTCCTGTGTCCCAGTGTCCTCATCTATAAAATAAGGGATAATAATAGTATCTGACTCAAGAGTTCTTGTGAAAATTAAATGAGACAGAACGTGTAAGGGCTTGGGAGAGTGCGTGGCATATACTTAATGTGTGATGATAACAGCTATAAAAATAAGTTAGGAGAGCAGGGAAGGGGTGAGGCAGCTTGTGAGGCAGGCTGAGCTCCTGGTCACTCTTCTTTCCATCCCAGGCTGATGGTGCGCTCAGGGGGCAGCCCCCTATCCCCCGTGATCTATGATTCAGACATGGACGATGTCCCCGAGCGGGGTCTCATCAGTGATGCCCAGTCCCTCTATGTGGAGCTGCTATCAGAGACACCTGCCAATCCTCTGCTGTTAAGCCTCCGATTTGAAGGTAAGTGACCCAGGCCCCCACCGGACTCCAGCCCTCAAACCTTCCCCTCTTCCTGACACCAGGCGTAGTTGGAAGCACAAACTCCATGCCTGTTCACCTCCGTGCTTGTATTCCTGAAACCTGACTCGCTTCCCTGCCCCCAAACTGCATGGATCTCTTCTAGGGACCCCTTCTCCTTCCCCGAGGCAGCCTTCTCTGTTTAAGCTTCATGTATGCCTGCATCCAGGTACACAACCAAAGGCTAGTTACCTCAGTATCTCGGTTCTTTCCTCTGTGTTGGCTTCATTCTCAGGCAGGCTTTCCCTGTGTGATGGACATGGTTGCTAACTTACATACCACCAACTTATTTGTTATTTATTTTAATTTTTTTTTTGAGATAGAGTCCTCCTCTGCTGCCCGGGCTGGAGTGTAGTGGTGCGATCTTGGCTCACTGCAGCCCCTTCCTCCAGGTTCAAGTGATTCTCATGCCTTGGCCACCTGAGTAGCTGGGACTGCAGGCACGCGCCACCATGCCCAGCTAATTTTTGGGTTTTTAGTAGAGACAGGGTTTCACCATGTTGCCCAGTCTGGTCTTGAACTCCTGGGCTCAAGTGATCCGCCCCCTGGGCCTCCCAAAGTGCCAGGATTACAAGAATGAGCCACCTCGCCCAGCCCATACCACCAACTTAATAACTTCATCTGAGAGAACACTCAGGTATTTCCCGAGAGCTCAACAGAAACGCCAGGATATGTGCTTACTGACCTGGCTAAGGTCCTGGTTGGCCTTTTAGCCTGAGCCAATCACCGAGCTAGGAGAAGGCAGTATTGGGATTGGCTGATCTGCCTCACGTGGCCTTCCCTGGCAGGCTCCAACTCAACCTCGTGGACCGCGAGTGGGGAAGGCATGTGTCCCAAAATTGAAGTCGGGGTGCTGTTACCGGAAGAAGGGGACATGAATGAGGATAGGTAGAAACAAGGAAGTCAGTGATTATGGAGGAAGAGGCATTTGAGCTTGGCCTTAAAGGACAGAGGGTATTTTAATATTATTATTATTATTGAAACAGGTCTTGCTTTGTCGCTCAGGCTGTAGTGCAGTAGCCCGATCATGGCTCGCTGCAACCTCAACCTCCTGGGCTCAAGTGATCTTCCTGCCTCAGCCTGCCCAGTAGCTGGGACCACAAGCATGCACCACCATGCGTAGCTAATTTTTATTTTTATTTTTGTAGAGACAGCATCTCACTATGTTGCTCAGGCTGGTCTCCAACTGCCGGCTGAAGTGATCCTCCTGCCTCAGCCTCCCAAAGTGCTAGAATTATGGGTATGAGTCACCCTGCCTGGCCAACAGAGGATATTTTAAAAGAGGAAGATTGAGGCCAGTTGTGTGACTCATGTCTCTAATTCCAATATTTTGGGAGGCCAAGGTGGGATGATTTTTTGAGGCCAGGAGTTTCAGAACCAGTCTGAGCAACATAGTAAGATCCTGTGTCTATAAATTAAAAATTTAGCCAGGTATGGTGGCACACACCTCTATTCACAGAAGGTTGAGGTGGGAGGATCACTTGAACCCAACAGGTTGCAGTGAGCTATGATTGCACTACTGCACTCTAGCGTGGGCAACAGAGCATGACCCTGTCTCAAAAAAAGAAAATAAAAGAAGAAAAGGAAAGAGGGTAACTTTGCGGAAGAGTATCTCAGGCAAAAGGGAGGGTGTGAGCAAAGGTGAGGAAGTAGAGAAATGCCTGGTATGTTTGGGAAATGGAATTTCATTGTGGCTGAAACAGAGGAGTTGTATAAATAGTTGCTAGAGAGAGACCAAAAAGGTGAAATGCTCAGAGATGAGAGGGTCTAGTGTTTGATATGAATCACGGGAGAAATGGAAATGGCACTGGGCCCTGATGGATGGGTAGGATTTGGACATGATACCTTGCATGTTAAGTAACAGTGAAATAGAACAGTGGATCTGCAAAAACCAATTGTGGAATAGATTCTGGGAGTGTTAAAGTGCAAACAGCGCACGTCTTTCAGTGAAAATGGCAAGTTTTGAGACCTGGTTCCATAGTTGTAGGCCACTGCTGTTCTATGAGCTTAAGGTTCTTCACTGTGGCCAGGCACAGTGGCTCATGCCTATAATCCCAGCACTTTGGGAGGCTAAGATGGGAGGATCACTTGAACTTCGGAGTTTCAGACCAGCCTGGGTAACATATCAAGACCTTTGTCTCTACGAAAAAAAAAATTAGACAGATGTGGTGCACGCTTGTGGTCCCAGCTGCTCTGGAGGCTGAGGGAGGAGGATCACTTGAGCCTGGGAGGTCAAGGCTGTTGTGAGCTGTGATCGCACCATTGCAATCCAGCTTAGGCAACAGAGCAAGGCCCTGCCTCATTTTTTTTTTTTTTTTTTTTTTTTTTTTTTTTTTGAGGCGGAGTTTCGCTCTTGTTACCCAGGCTGGAGTGCAATGGCACGATCTCGGCTCACTGCAACCTCCGCCTCCTGGGTTCAGGCAATTCTCCTGCCTCAGCCTCCTGAGTAGCTGGGATTACAGGCACGCACCACCATGCCCAGCTAATTTTTTTGTATTTTTAGTAGAGATGGGGTTTCACCATGTTGACCAGAATGGTCTCGATCTCTTGACCTTGTGATCCACCCGCTTCGGCCTCCCAAAGTGCTGGGATTACAGGCTTGAGCCACCGCGCCCGGCCCCCTGCCTCATTTTTTAAAAGTATTTTTGAGATGGAATCTTGCTCTTGTCATCCAGGCGGGAGTATAATAGCACGATCTCAGCTCACTGCAAACTTCACCTCCTAAGTTCAAGCGATTCTCCTGCCTCAGCCTCCTGAGTAGCTGGGATTACAGGCTTGCACCATCACGCCTGGCTAATTTTGCATTTTTAGTAGAGATGGTCTCGAATTCCTGACCTCAGGTGATCCACCTACCTTGGCCTCCCAAAGTGCTGAGATTACGGGCATAAGCAACCACGCCTGACCTTATTTTAAAAAATAAATAAAATAGTCTGGATGCAGTGGCTTATGCCTGTAATCCCTGCAGTTTGGGAGGCTGAGGCAGGCGGATCACTTGAACCCAGGAGTTTGAAACCAGACTGGGAAACATGGCAAAATCCCATTTCTACTAAAAACACAAAAATTAGCGAGTCATGGTGGCACGTGCCTGTAATCCCAGCTACTCAGGAGGCTGAGGCACGAGAATCGCTTGAACCTGGGAGGTCAAGGTTGCAGTGAAGTGAGATCATGCCACTGCACTCGAGCCTGGGTGACAGAGCGAGACTTGGTCTCAAAAAATAAAAAAATACAGGATTCCTCATTGGTATCATAGGCACCTAAATCTTACCTCACAGGGAGTTTTGCAGCTAAGATATAATCAAGTGGGCAGAAACTCAAATGCTCTACAAATGTTCACTTTTGCTGACTTAGACTGAAGTAAAAACTGAGTAACTTTTGCATTAGCTGCAATTTTGGGTTCTAGCAACAGCAAGGAATGATCAGAATCCAACTGTTATTTCTGAGGTGAGAATACACCTACACCAGCCAGTTCTCCAAAGGCACCCCTCCCCTTACCCGCCCATCTCTGCTGTTTTCAGAGCCAAGTGTCTGTGACTGGGAATCAAGCCATCTGGGCAAACCTGCTTCTGCCATTGTCTTCTGGGTGACCTTGAACAAGTGGCTTTTTGGTCTGTGGACCTCCTCTCTATAGAGTTGTGGCTGGGATTTGGCTAGCTCAGGGGGATCCCTCCAGAGGCCACGGAGGCAAAGCAAATATTCGAAAGAGGAGTGTTAGAATTTTTTTGACAGTCTGGAGAGAGAGTGCTCAATCCAATGGCATTCAGTTTTTAAAAGCCCATCGAGGCCAGGGCAGTGGCTCACTCCTGTAATCCCAGCACTTTGGGAGGCTGAGGCATAAGGATGACCTGAGGTCAGGAGTTTGAGACCAGCCTGAGAAACATGGTAAAACCCCATCTCTACCAAAAAAAAAAAAAAAAAAAAAAAAAATCAGAAATGAGCTGCTTGGTGGGGTGTGCATGATTGTAGTCTTAGCTACTGGAAAGGCTGAGGCGGGAGGATCGCATGAGCCTGGGAGAACTCCAGCCTCAGCAACAGTGTGAGACCTTGTCTCTAAAAAAATAAAAAATAAAAAAACCCAGGTCGGGCACAGTGACTCATGTCTGTAATCCCAGCACTTTGGGAAGTTGAGGAAGGCAGATTACTTGAAGCCAGGAGTTCGAGACTCACTTAGCCAACATGGTGAAATCCCCGTCTCTACTAAAAATACAAAAATTGGCCAGGTGCAATGTATCACGGCTGTAATCCCAGCACTTTGGGAAGCTGAGGCAGGCAGATCACCTAAGGAGCTCGAGACCAGCCTGACCAACATGGAGAAATGCTGTCTCTACTAAAAATACAAAAAATTACCCAAGCATGGTGGCCCATGCCTGTAATCCCAGCTACTTGGGAGGCTGAGGCAGGAGAATTGCTTGAACCCAGCAGGCGGAGGTTGCAGTGAGTTGAGATCATGCCACTGCACTCCATCTTGGGTGACAGAGCAAGACTATGTCTCAAAAAAAAAAAAAAAAAAAGCCCAGTAAGTGGTCAAACAACACCCCAATTCAGCCCACATCCCCAGTTTGAGATCCCTTGAGGCCTGTCCTAATGTTTAATTGTTATGACTGACTCCTTCCCAGCCTTTGAGGAGGATCGCTGCTTCGCCCCCTTCCTGGCACATGGAAACGTCACTACCACAGATCCTGAGTTTCGTCCAGGGGCACTGGCAACCTTCTCGTGCCTCCCAGGATATGCCCTAGAGCCCCCTGGGCCCCCCAATGCCATCGAATGTGTGGATCCCACCGAACCTCACTGGAACGACACAGAGCCAGCCTGCAAAGGTGAGCCCTCGTCGCAGGCAGATCCTTTAGTCCATGACGCCCCCTGAACTGGGGATCCCAGCAAGGCCGTTCAGGAAGGAGGGCTACATATCCAGACTTAATTGACCCAAGCCTTGGGTAAATCCCTGTCCCTTCAGAGACTGTTTTCTTAGCAGAATAACCGGTGGGCTTGTTACTGAATGCAGGGGTCACAACCCACATGTCTTCAGGAGCGAGAACTGCTATTGGGTTAAGTCACAGATTGGGAAGGCTGGAGAGTGGGTAGGGAGAGTGGGTAGCTCCTGCTTTGTTAGGAGTCGGACTGGATATTGAGAACAACAGGACCTAGATGTGGCAAGAAACAGGTGGATCATGGCCAGGCGCGGTGGCTCACGCCTGTAATCCCAGCACTTTGGGAAGCTGAGGTGGGCGGATCACCTGAGGTCGGGAGTTCCAGACCAGCCTGACCAACATGGAAAAACCCCGTATCTACTAAAAATACAAAATTAGTTGGGCATGGTGGTGCATGCCTGTAATCCCAGCTACTTGGGAGGCTGAGACAGGAGAATCACCTGAACCCGGGAGGCAGAGGTTGGATGAGCCAAGATCGTGCCATTGCACTCTAGCTGGGCAACAAAAGCAAAACTCTGTCTCAAAAAAGAAAGAAAGAAAGAAAGAAAGAAAGAAACAGGTGGATCAGGCCAGGCACAGTGGCTCACCCCTGTAATCCCAGCACTCTGGTAGGCTGAGGTGTGCGGATCACCTGAGGTCAGGAGTTTGAGACCAGCCTGGCCAACAGTGAAACCCCGTCTCTACTAAAAATACAAAAATTGGCCAGGCGTAGTGTCACGTGCCTGTAATCCCAGCTACTCAAGAGGCTGAGGCATGAGAATCGCTTGAACCTGGGAAGGCGGAGGTTGCTGTAAGCTGGGATCGTGCCACTGCGGCTTCAGCCTGATGACAGAGTGAGACTCCATCTATAAAAAAAAAAAAAAGAAAGAAAAGAAAAGATGGGTCATAGACAGTAGGAAACAAAACAAGCGAGGTGATGTGGAGTACGCATCAGGAGTGGTGACGACCATGGTGAAATGGAGATGGCATGCTCACCTGGGTCCCAAGCCTCACACCCCTTTTTCCCTAGCCATGTGTGGAGGGGAGCTGTCGGAGCCAGCTGGCGTGGTCCTCTCTCCCGACTGGCCCCAGAGCTATAGCCCAGGCCAGGACTGCGTGTGGGGCCTGCACGTCCAGGAAGAGAAGCGCATCTTGCTCCAAGTTGAGATGTATGTTTGGGTCCTGCAGAGGGTGCGACGGGTGTGGGATCAGCAAAGCGTGGTATCCCAACGCACTAGCCTGCATTCTGAGCCTGCCTGGCTCTTCTGTATCTACCCAGAATTCGGTGGATAGGCTGGTGCACAAAGGGTTCAGATAGAAGTGGGGGAGCTGGGCTCAAATCACGCATTAGCTGGGCAACCTCAGACAAATAGGACAATGCAGCCTTCCTTAGGGGCTATTGTGAACAAGCAGCTCTGGCCTGGTGCTTCTCACTCTTTGGAGGTTTCTGAGGCTGCCCCTGGAGCGATTTCCAGGGACACAGACCCAAACTGCATTATCACCAGCAAGTTGGGGAGGTCTGGGGAGAATCCAGTGGCTGAATTGGTAAGAGAGGGTACTGAGACGGCACTGAAGCTGAGGTGAGCGAGGCTTCAAAGCCTGTACTCCGGCAGGGCCTAGAGTTGTGCAGGGTGGTAGCAAATGTGGACTATGATGGCCAGAGCTGGAGTTGGGTTAGTCTGTGGTTCCCATGGTGATGGAGGAGCACTGGACAGTGGGCGGAGTTAATAATGAGCAAGGTTAGGGATTGGATAGTAGGATATGGGAGGAGCCATAGAATGGGGGGAACCCTGAGGCACTAGCATAGGAGAAACCATGATTGGTCAAAACGGAGGCGGCCCCAGACCTGGCTAGGAAGATATGGGCGGGGCTGGAGAGTAGGAGGGGCTACTGATGAGCAGAGTTGGGGATTGGGCAGCGCTGGATGGGAGGGGCCAGTCGCAGTCCCGCCCCATTGTCTGGTCCCACCCCCTGCAGCTTGAATGTGCGGGAAGGGGACATGCTGACTCTGTTCGACGGGGACGGTCCCAGCGCCAGAGTCTTGGCCCAGCTGCGGGGACCTCAACCGCGCCGCCGCCTCCTCTCCTCTGGGCCCGACCTCACACTGCAGTTTCAGGCACCTCCCGGGCCCCCAAATCCAGGCCTGGGCCAGGGCTTCGTATTGCACTTCAAAGGTACTGAGGGATAGAGTCCGGGATGGGCAGGGGTCGGGCAGAGATCCCGGGAGGTGGCCGTTCGAGGTGGCTCTCGCCTGTAATCCCAGGGCCTTGGGAGGCCGAGGCGGGAGGATGGCTTGAGGCCAGGAAGTTTAGACTGCAGTGAGCTATGCTTGTGTCACTGCACTCCAGAGCGACAGAGGAAACACCCTATCTCTAGAGAGACAGATCTCGGCAGGAGGCACGGAGCAAAGCCTCCGAGGCTGAAAGGGTGTCCGGAGTTAAACGGCAGCCTCCAAACTAGCCCTTCCTCCCCTGCAGAGGTACCGAGGAACGACACGTGCCCTGAGCTGCCACCTCCGGAGTGGGGCTGGAGGACGGCGTCCCACGGGGACCTGATCCGGGGCACTGTGCTCACCTACCAGTGCGAGCCTGGCTACGAGCTGCTGGGCTCCGACATTCTCACCTGCCAGTGGGACCTGTCCTGGAGCTCCGCGCCGCCCGCCTGCCAAAAGAGTGAGCCGGCCCGGTCCCGGGCCCCTCGGCCCCGCCCCTGCTCTGTGGGCCCGCCCCCACCCTGTCCTGTCCCTGTCCTCGTGCCGTCTGGGTTCGATCCCTTCGCTCAGGGTCCTGCCTGGATTTTCTTCAGGCCCCGCCCCCGTGTCCTTTAGCTCTAACTTCTCCGCTCGGTGCCCCGAAACCGTCCCTTCTGTGTCCTCTCTGGGTCACCCTCTCATCTTTTCCGGGCTGCATCCCTCCTCTTTCTTGCACCGACCTGGGCTCGGTCTGTGTTTCCTCTTCTCATGCCCCACTCCCCGTCCCCTCCTGACCCCGCCTCTGCGGCGTCTGAGTTTCGCCCCTGAAAAGGGTTCTGCCGGGGTTCCCACTGGGCTCCGTCCCCTCCACGCTTGGCTCCACCCTTCCTGCCCCACGCCCCGCCCCAATTCCACAGTCCTCTCGCTTGAAATTCTGGGAAGCCACTTTGCTAGGACCAAGGCTTGTCAGAACCCTTGGTTTATTTGAATGCCGTCACTGAAGCTCCGTGCTGGGTTGGGGTTAGGAGAAGGGGGTTCGAGCCCCTCCATGCCCTGATGGAGCTCGCAGTCTGAGAGGAATAGGCAGATTGGTGATCAGTGGGTGATTTCGGGTGAGGCAGTTAGCATTTCTGAGCCATGGTTTCCCCATCGGTGCAGTAGGACTCAGGTTGTGAAGCGCAGATGGAAGGTTCACAGGACGCATGCTGCCTGGGCATGGAAAAAGGCCGTTGGGAGAGCCGTGGGCTCATTCTCTCAGGGCTGGGGCAGGAGATTTCACAGAGGAGGTAACATTTAAAGGAGCTGGGAGTGTGCATATATTAGAAGAGCAGAAAGGGACCGGGCGTGGTGGATCACCTGAAGTCAGGAGTTTGACTTCATGTTTTCCTAGCACTCACTCCTGTAATCCTAGAACTCTAGGAGGCCGAGGCAGGTAGATCACCTGAGGTCAGGAGTTCGAGACCAGCCTGGCCAACATGGCAAAACCCTGTCTTTACTAAAAATACAAAAATTAGGCCAGGGGCAATGGCAAAATGCTGTCTTTACTAAAAATACAAAAATTAGGTCAGGGGCGGTGGCTCATGCCTGTAATAGGAGGTTGAGGCGGCAGATCACCCAAGGTTGGAAATTTGAGACCAGGCTGACCAACATGGAGAAACCCTGTCTCTATTAAAAAGAAAAAAAAAAAAAAAAAACAAAAAACACAAAGATTAGCTGGTCATGGTGGCACATGCCTGTAATCCCAGCTATTTGGGAGGCCGAGGAAGGAGAATCACTTGAACCCGGGAAGTGGAGGTTGCCGTTAGCTGAGATTGAGCCACCGCACTCCAGCCTGCATGACCGGAGTGAGACTGTACCTCAAAAAAAAAATTAAAAAAAGAGCAGAAAGGAATGACAGCTGGTCACTTTCTCCAAATTTTGGGAAGCCAGCTGCAAGGACATGGGGCTATAGTTCTATGTGGCATCTGGAAGCAATGGTGGGACCAAGGGGAGAAGCTTCAAGAAGCCAGATTTGGGCTAGACACTCCCCACCCATGGAAGGATTCACAGGCTGCTATCAGGCCTGGATGGGGCTAAGAGTTCATCTGGCCCTGCTGCCTTGGGCTCAGGAGGGAACCTGTCCAAGGCAGCAGATTGAGCCTGAAGATGTGCCAAGACCCACATCTCTGAGTCCCTGTCCAGTGCTCCATGGCTGTGACCCCTGCAAATTCCAGCTCTGCCATTCCTTGGCTGAGTGACCATGGGCCTCAGTTCTTTGACTGCCCTGAGCCCTGGGTTCCAAGGGAGATGACAGTGACATTGGCCTCTCAGGATAAACAGGATTAAATATTATGTTTGTGCCAGGCATGGTGGCTCACATCTGAAATCACAGTGCTTTAGAAGGCCGAGGTGGGAGGATCACTTGAGCCTAGGAGTTTGAGATCAGCCTGGGCAGCATAATGAGATCCTTCTCTACAAAAAATAAAAAATATACCCCGGCATGGTGGTGTGTGCCTGTAGTCCGAGCCACTCACTTAGGAGGCTGAGGTGGGAGAATCGCTTAAGACCAGGAGTTTGAGGCTGCAGTGAGCCATGATCTTGACACCGCACTCCAGCTTGAGTGACAGCAAGTTCTTGTCTCCAAAACAAAGAATTATATTTGGGGTCAGGCATGGGGGTTTACACCTGTAATCCCAGCACTTTGGGAGGCTGAGGTGGGTGGATCACCTGAGGTCAAGAGTTCGAGTCCAGCCTGGCCAACATGGCGAAACTTTGTCTCTACTAAAACTACAAAAATTAGCCAGGCATGGTAGCGAACAGCTGTAATCCCAGCTACTTGGGAGGCTGAGGAGAATTGCTTGAACCCAGGAGGCAGAGGTTGCAGTGAGCCGAGATCGTGCCCCTGCACTCCAGCCTGGGCAACAGAGGAAGACTCTGTCTCAGAAAAAAAGAGAGAAAAAAAAAGAACTATATTTGTTTTTAAAACATTTAGCGGGATGCCTGGCTCAGATTTATATACAAGAAATGGCTATGATTATGATTCCTTCACAACAGGGTGGTAAACTCAAATGCCTGCAGGCAGGTAATGTATGTGTGTACTGGGCTGGGCATGATGAGAATGTGGGAGATAGGAGATCTGGGCCCCTTCTAAAGAGGGCAGCTGCTGTTGTGTAAATGATATGCCATGCCAGGCTCATACTGCTGGGATTTGGCTGGCATGCTCTGGTACAGTGGTTAAATATTTTGAATTTCACCCCAGGATAGGGGCTTGGGGTTGCCCCAAGCAACCTGTTTTCTAAAAGAAGCCTGAAATATAACATACATAGAATATTTTTAAACAATTAACTCTGTCGACCGGGCCCAGTGGCTCACGCCTGTAATCCCAACACTTTGGGAGGCTGAGGCAGGCAGATCACTTGAGGTCAGAAGTTCGAGACCAGCCTGGCCAACATGGGGAAGCCCCGTCTCTACTAAAAGTACAAAGTAAGCCGGGCGTGGTGACGCATGCTTGTAATCCCAGCTACACAGGAGGCTGAGGCAGAAGAATTGCTCGAACCTAGGAGGCAGAGGTTGCAGTAAGCCGAGATCGTGCCACTGCATTCCAGTCTAGGCGACAGAGCGAGACTCCATCTCTAAATAAATAAATAAATATTTAATTAAATAAGTCTGTCATTATGGTCTGAAAATAAATGCACTGCACTGCATTTTAAGTTTTTCTAATTCATGCTCTCTTCCTTCCGAGGAAGTGCCTGGAAGAGCATGTGTGTGCAGAAGTGTTCAGGGGAAATGGCCCAAGGCTCAGGCCTCTCCCAGCCCTAGGATTCTGGGAGACTTTATTTTATTTTTCTTAGACAGGGTCTCACTCTGTCACCCAGGCTGGAGTGAGGTAGGGCAGTCACCATTCACTGCAACCTCCACCTGCTGGGCTTAAGCGATCCTCCCGCCTCCACCTCCTGAGTAGCTGGGACCTCAGGAGTGCACCACCACTCCTGACTAATTTTTAAATTTTTTGTAGAGATGGGGGTCTCCTTATGTGGCCCAGACTGGTCTTTTAAGCCCTCGCTCCCCCTGCCCTTTTTCTTCTGCCACCAGTCATGACTTGCGCCGACCCTGGCGAGATCACCAACGGGCACCGCACCGCCTCGGACGCAGGCTTCCCTGTTGGTTCCCATGTACAGTACCGCTGCCTGCCAGGGTACAGCCTCGAGGGGGCAGCCATGCTCACCTGCTACAGCCGGGACACGGGCACACCCAAGTGGAGCGACCGAGTCCCCAAATGCGCCTGTGAGTCTAGGGCACACCCTGGGAGGGTAGCTGGGTAGCCCTGGGAGGGCCCGTTTGCCCCGTGCCCAGTAGTACAGCTGGCACGTGACTGGCATGCTCCTTGCAGTGAAGTACGAGCCGTGCCTGAACCCAGGGGTTCCCGAGAATGGCTACCAGACGCTGTACAAGCACCACTACCAGGCGGGCGAGTCTCTGCGCTTCTTCTGCTATGAGGGCTTTGAGCTTATCGGCGAGGTCACCATCACCTGTGTGCCCGGCCACCCCTCCCAGTGGACCAGCCAGCCCCCACTCTGCAAAGGTGCCTGGCCAGACAGGGCAGGAGGGGCACACCAGTGTCCGGGGAGTAACAGGGCTGGGAGAGTCAGGTAGCACATTCGAGAGCAATGGGCAACCCCACAGAGCTCCCAGTTCTCCTCCTGTGGCCTCGTGTCCTCACGGGTGTGTCCAGAAGCCCTGGGTCGTGTGAGGTCATGGGATTCGCTCAGGGGTGTCGTAGAGGGGGCCTTGGCTTGGAAGTTCCTTGCTCTCTCTGGATAGGCCTCAGTTTCCCTATCTCTGAGAAATTCAGACTGTCCAGGAACCCTGACTTTTTAGGGGTCTGGAGAAAGAGGACAAAGGCCCTGTGCTGGTCACTCCTCTCTCTGCCCCACCAAGGGAAAGAGAACGTTGAGGTTGAGAAGAGGGCAGAGAGAACCAGGCTGTCCAGCCCAGCCCCACCGGGCTCCGGGCCCTTCCAGCCTCCTCCCCTCCCTGGCTCAGACCCCATCCCCTCCCCCTCCTCTCCCTGCAGTTGCCTATGAGGAGCTCCTGGACAACCGAAAACTGGAAGGTCAGTGAGGGCACAGGTGGAGATCCAGGCTGGCCAGGACGGGAGGGCAAAGCAGAGACCGGGGCAGGAGGCCAGGCCTTGGAGGGGTGAGGCCCAGGGTTTGAGGCTCAGGGCAGGAGGCTGGGAGAGCCCAGGACGGGGCCCACCTGCAGCTCACTGGCCTCTCCTCCTCCCACAGTGACCCAGACCACGGACCCGTCTCGGCAGCTGGAGGGGGGGAACCTGGCCCTGGCCATCCTGCTGCCCCTAGGCTTGGTCATTGTCCTCGGCAGTGGCGTTTACATCTACTACACCAAGTAAGTAGCCTGCTTGGGTGCTGCCGGCCAGGGCAGACGTCTTGCTGGCCTGGCACCGGAGCCCGGGTCAGGGGAGCTCAGGGGCTCACCTGTTGATAAGCTCCTCTGTCCTCTCCCTTTCTCAGGCTTCAGGGAAAGTCCCTTTTCGGCTTCTCGGGTTCCCACTCCTACAGCCCCATCACCGTGGAGTCGGACTTCAGCAACCCGCTGTATGAAGCCGGGGTGAGCACCTCCCCTGCCCCTGGAGAGCCACCACTAGGCTCTCCCAGGACTCCAAAACCTCGCAAGTTCTCTGGAATCTCTGTCTTGGGAATTTCAAAACTCAGGTGCCCACAGGGGCATCAGTGAACACAGCAAGCCACATGTGGACAACAGGGAGTGGTAGGACCATGGCTAAGTGGAGGGCTTGTGCCCCATCTCAAGGATACGGCTCTACCCCATAGTGGAAACTGAGGCTTAATTGGCAGATCTTCCAGTTGTTCAAGACAAGCCAGAAATCCAGATCCTTGTGTCATTTTACGACGCTGTAGGGTGAACCAAACACATTCACTGGCCAGATTCAGCCCCTGTGGCCCCCACAGCCCCCAGTGGTCAATGTTACTTTAAAACTCAGGGTTGGGCCAGGCGCGGTGGCTCACACCTGTAATCCCAGCACTTTGGGAGGCCGAGGCGGGTCGATCACGAGGTTAGGAGTTCTATACCAGCCTGACCAACATGGTGAAACCCCAACTCTAAAAATAAAAATAAAAAAAATTAAAAAAACTCAGGGTTGTTCCCCCTCCTCCCATTTGGCTGCCTCTTCTACCCCCATCAGACTCCAACAACTGACCTAATCTCTCTGTCTTCAGGATACTCGGGAATATGAAGTTTCCATCTGAACCCCAAGACTACAGCTGCAGGACCCAGGACGCCCCTCCCCTCCTCATTCGGGGCAGGGAGAAGTATGGGACCGGTCTCTGCCTCCTGGCTGCCCTCCTCCCTGGCTGTGTAAATAGTCTCCCCGTCCCACGAGGGGGCTTTGATGGCCCTGGAGATCCTACAGTAAATAAACCAGCATCCTGCCGCCCAAAGCCGCCTCTTCTCAGTTGCCAAATGAGGGGCCTGCCCCCGACCCTACTGGCTTTTGGATCCTGGGAGGGGAACTCTGCCCCCCTGCAAATCTTGCGGCCCCTCTTGCCCAGGGCACCCCTCAGTGACTGCCCCCGATAGCTCAACTGTTCCTTTGGCCATGAAGGCCCCCCAACTCCCCTATGCCCTGTCCCTGGGCCTGACTCCGGCTAGGAGGGTCAGAAGAAGGCTGAAGGGGAGAGCCGGGACAAGGCCCTGCTCCCTTCCTGCCATCTCCCCGCCCCACAGTCTCTCTACCTTTGCTTCTGAATTCTTGTTTTTGAGCAATAAACAGAAAATCACCACTTGTAATTGGGCCGGTGGGGTGTGGGAAGGTGGGTCCCGAGCGCTAGGTGACCACCTCTCTGGAGAGAGGGCTGGGGAAAGGGGAACAATTTGTAAAAAAGAGGGAAATGCAAAAGTGGGTAGAGGGCAGTGTCTGGGGGTGGGGCCCTGGCCTGGGGTCAAAAAGCCTGGCTGTAGGCTCAGCCTCTGTGAAGCCCTCCCTGCCACCAGCCCCACTCCGGGCTGCAGTGGCCCCTCCACCAGGCCTTGACCTTGTCAGCCTCTTCCAGCTGGGAGAGAACTGACAGGAGCCACTCCTCTTCTCTTACTGCTGGGCAGGAGGCAAACAGCTTTCCATTTCTTTCTTTTCAGAAACAGGGCCTAGCTCTGCCAGCCAGGCTGCAGTTCAGTGGTGGGGGTCACAGCTCACTGCACCCTCAAGCTTATCCTCCCGCCTCAGTTTCCTGAGTAGCTGGGACTACAGGTGCAAGCCACTGTGCCTGCCTAATTTTTTTTTTTTTTTTTTTTGAGACGGAGTTTCGCTCTTGTTACCCGGGCTGGCGTGCAATGGCGCGATCTCGGCTCACCGCAACCTCCGCCTCCTGGGTTCAGGCAATTCTCCTGCCTCAGCCTCCTGAGTAGCTGGGATGACAGGCACGCACCACCATGCCCAGCTAATGCCTAATTTTTAAATTTTTGAAGAAATGAGATCTTGCTATGTTGCCCAGGCTGCTCTCAACCCCCTAGCCTCAAGCAATCCTTCCTTGACTTACCAAAGTTCTGGGATTACAGGCATTAGCCACCAAGCCTGGCTTTTTAATTTGTTTTATGACCAGTTTGCTTAAAATTCAACCCCCTTTGGAGAATTTTTGTATCCATTCAAGTACACCATTTCTTCCCTGCCACCCCAATCTTTTCAGCATTTTAGGCGTATCTGTGACCCATATATCAATTTGAGCTTTATATTCTTGGGGGTGTCCTTTTCCACCTTTTTTTTTTTTTTTTTTGATGGAGTTTCACTCTTGTTGCCCAGGCTGGAGTGCAATGGTGAGATTGTGGCTCACTGCAACGTCCGCCTCCTGGGTTCAAGCGATTCTCCTGCCTCAGCCTCCCGAGTAGCTGGGATGACAGGCATGCGCCACCATACCCAGATAATTTTGTATTTTTAGTAGATGAGGTTTCTCCATGTTGGTCAGGCTGGTCTTGAACTCCCAACCTCAGGTGATCCACCTGCCCTGGCATCCCAAAATGCTGGGATTACAGGAGTAAACCACTGCACCCAGCCCACTATATCTATTTTTGAACATTATCAGGAATTTATAGCCTGTTTGTCTAAAGAGTTTTTCTCCAAATTAACTAAATTTTATGTAATTAAAAAAAATTTTTTTTTTTTTTTGAGACAAGAGTCTTGCTCTGTCGCCCAGGTAGGAATGCAGTGGCTCCATCTCGGCTCACTGCAACTTCTGCTTCCTGGGTTCAAGTGATTCTCCTTCCTCAGCCTCCCAAGTAGCTAGGATTACAGGCATACACCACCACACTTGGCTAATTTTTGTATTTTTAGTAGAGACAGGGTTTCCCCATATTAGCCTGTCTGTTCTCAAGCTTGTGACCTCACGTGATCCACCTGTCTTGGCCTCTCAAAGTGTTGGGATTAAAGGTGTGAGCCACCACAACCAGCCTATGTAATTTTTAAAAAATTATTTTTTGAGATGGAGTTTTGCTCTTGTCACCCAGGCTGGAGTGCAATGGCATGACCTTGCCTCACTGCAACCTCCACCTCCTGGGTTCAAGTGATTCTCCTGCCTTGGCTTCCCAAGTAGCTGGAACTGCAGGCACCCACCACCAGGCCCAGCTAATTTTTATGTTTTTAGTAGAGAGTGGATTTTGCCATGTTGGCCAGGCTGGTCTCGAACTTCTGATCTCAGGTGATCCGACCACCTTAGCCTCCTAAAGTGCTGGGATTACAGGTGTGAGCCATGGCGCCTGGCCTAATTAAAATTTTATATTTAAATGCAATTAAACATTTTTAGGACACTTGAAAGGATGCTGAAATATCCAGAAAGGGGTGGACTTTTAGGAGAACGTGGGGCAAACTGCTCTCAATAATAGCAAGTGCTTAGTATGTATTATGTTGGTTTTTTTCTTTTTTTTCCAAGATGGAGTTCTGCTCTTTCGCCCAGGTAGAAGTGCAATGGTACAATCTTGGTTCATTGCAACCTCTGCCTCTCAGGTTCAAGCAATTTTCTTGCCTCAGCCTCTCAAGTAGCTGGGATTACAGGCGCCCGCCACAATGCCTGGCTAATTTTTGTATTTTTAGTAGAGATGGAGCTTCACTATGTTGGCCAGGCTGGTCTCGAACTCCTGACCTCAAGTGATCTGCCCACCTCGGCCTCCCAAAGTGCTGGGATTTCAGACGTGAACCACCACGCCTGGCCTATGTTGTTTTTTTCTTTAGAGACCATGTCTCTGTTATGCAGGCTGGAGTACAGTGGCACCATCATAGTTCACTGCAGCCTCAACCTCCTAGACTCAAGTGATCCTCCAGTCTTAGCCTCCTGAGCAGCTGGGATTACAGGTGTGCTCCACCACACCTAGCTAACTTGTTTACTTTTTTAGAGATGGGGCTCACTCTGTTACCCAAGCTGGTCTTGAACTCCTGGCCTCAAGTGATTCTCCTGCCTCACTGTCCAGTGTGTCCCTGGGATGACAGACATGAGCCACCATGTCTGACTGCATTGTATCTTTAACTCTTCAGAGGACCCTATGGGACAGGGATCATTTATTAATCCCATTTTTCAGATAAGGAAACTAAGGCTCAGAGATGGGAATTGACTTCCGCAGGAGGCTCCAATAAATGGCCAAACTTGGTGCAGTTTGCATTTAGCAATGCAAATACTAAATGCTAAAATGAATTAAGCATCTGCATTGCCAAATGCAAACTGCACAAAGCCTACTGGCTAGTAATGGGTGTGGTATGTTCTCACAGGCATGAAGCCTAAAGCTCAGATAGGAGAGACCATAGCTCAGTGCCCCCAACCCCAATGGTGGTGGCAGAGGTGGCTCCTCAGAAGCAAGAGGAGTCCTGCCAGATGCCACAGGCTTAGACCTTGAGGTGCTGGAGTGTGGCCAGGAGGCTGGATTTGGACCCATAAGCTCATCTGTGTCAGCAGGCTGGGCATGGTGGTTCACACCAGTAATCCCAGCACTTTGGAAAGCCGAGGCAGGAGGATCATTTGAGGCCAGGAGTTCAAGACCAGTCTGGGCAACACAATGAGACCGTGTCTCCACAATTTTTTTTTTTTTTTTTTTTTTTTTAGACAGAGTTTCACTCTGTCGCCAGGCGCCAGGCTGGATCAATGCAGCAGTGCAATCTCGGCTCACTGCAACCTCTGCCTCCCAGGTTCGAGCACTTCTGCCTCAGCCTCCTGAGTAGCTGGGACTACGGCACATGCCACCACACCCAGCTAATTTTTGTATTTTAGTGGCGACAGGGTTTCACTATGTTGGCCAGGATGGTCTCGATCTTTTGACCTTGTGATCCGCCCGCCTAGGTCCCCAATTTTTTTTTTTTTTTTTGAGATAGTCTCACTTTATTGCCCCAGGCTGGAATGCAGTGGTGCAATTTCAGCTCACTGCAGCCTCCGCCTCCCAAGTTCAAGTGATTCTCTTGCCTCAGCCTCTTGAGTGCCTGGGATTTTAGGTGCATACCACCACACTAGGCTCATTTTTTGTATTTTTAGTAAAGATGGGGTTTCGCCATATTGGCCAAGATGGTCTTAAATTCCTGACCTTGTGATCCACCTGTCTCAGCCTCCCAAACTGCTGGGATTACAGGTGTGAGCCACTGCACCTGGCCACCAATTAAAAAAAACAACTGCGGCCAGGTGTGGTGGCTCACGCCTGTAATCCCAGCATTTGGGAGGCCGAGGCGGGTGGATCACAAGGTCAAGAGATCGAGACCATCCTTGGTCAACATGGTGAAACCCCGTCTCTACTAAAAATACAAAAAATTAGCTGGGCATGGTGGCGCATGCCTGTAATCCCAGCTACTCGGGAGGCTGAGGCAGGAGAATTGCCTGAACCCTGGAGGCTGAGGTTGTGGTGAGCCAAGATCACACCATTGCACTCCAGCCTGGGTAACAAGAGCAAAACTCCCGTCTCAAAAAAAAACAAAAAACAAAAAACAAAAAAACAGCACTCCAATCATATGCCCGCATCCAGCATCCACATCTGGGGGAAAAAAAGGACCCTCTCCTGTACCTCTACCCCAGATAAACCACACTGGAACACTACATGAGCTGGGGGAGGGGAGGATCCCTGTCTCTTTATTAAAGCCTTTCATTCCTGGTGGTGTCCTTGCTGGCTGAGGCAGGAGAGTCTGGTGATGAATCCAGAAAACTTTGACGGCTCCAGGATGACACTGCTTCTGACCACGAGGTCCCCGCAAACAGAAGTGGTTAACGAGTGGCAAAAGAGGAGTTTTGAGGCATGTTCTAGGGATAAAAGGGGGAAGCATGAGAGGCCAGGAGCATCAGAGAGGGGTGGGCTCATCTTCCAAACAGGCAGTTAGGAAGAGCTCCATGAAAGAGACAAGAGCCTTTTCACTCTTTAGACCCAAGGCTCATATCTTTTTTATTTTTCTCGAGACAGGGTCTCCCTCTGTCAACTAGGCTAGAGTGTAGTGGCACAATCATATCTTCCCAGCCTCCACCTCCTGGGCTCCAGTGATCCTCCCACCCCAGCCTCCGGAGTAGCTGGGACCACAGCTGTGCCCCACTATGCCTGGCTAATTTTTTTTTTAAATACACATTTTTTATTGCACTTTAGGTTCTGGGGTACATGTGCAGATCATGCAGAATTGTTGCATAGGTACATACATGGCCATGTGATTTGCTGCCTCCATGCCCCTGCCACCTGTATCTGGCATTTTTCCCCATGTTATCCCTCCCCAACCTCTCTACCTCCCGCTGTCCCTCCCCTACTCCCCCTCAACAGACCCCAGTGTGTGATGCTCCCCTCCCTGTGTCCACGTGTTCTCATTGTTCAACACCCACCTATGAGTGAGAACATGCGGTGTTTGATTTTCTGCTCTTGTGTCAGTTTGCTGAGAATGATGGTTTCCAGATTCATCCATGTCCCTACAAAGGACACGAACTCATCATTTTTTTATGGCTGCATAATATTCTGTGGTGTATATATGCCATATTTTCCTTGTCCAGTGTATCAATGATGGGCATTTGGGTTGGTTCCAGGTCTTTGCTATTGTAAACAGTGCCGCAATGAACATACGTGTGCATGTGTCTTTATAATACGATTTATAATGCTATGATGTATACCCAGTAATGGAATTGCTGGATGCCTGGCTAATTTTTTAAGCCTCGATAGCAGAAACTTTGTTTTGCTCACTGCAACACCCAGCCCTCAAGCAGTGCTGGCACATAGTAAGTGCTTAATTTTTATTTTATTTTATTTTATTTTATTTATTTATTTATTTATTTATTTTGAGCCGGAGTTTTGCTCTTGTTACCCAGGCTGGAGTGCAATGGCACGATCTCGGCTCACCGCAACCTCCGCCTCCTGGGTTCAGGCAATTCTCCTGTCTCAGCCTCCTGAGTAGCTGGGGTTACAGGCACGCACCACCATGCCCAGCTAATTTTTTGTATTTTTAGTAGAGATGGGGTTTCGCTATGTTGACCAGGATGGTCTCGATCTCTTGACCTTGTGATCCACCTGCCTCGGCCTCCCAAAGTGCTGGGATTACAGGCTTGAGCCACCGCGCCCGGTCTATTTTATTTTTTTGAGACAGAGTCTCACTCTGTGGCCCAAGCTGTAATGCAGTGGCATGATCTCGGCTCACTGCAAGCTTTGCCTACCAGGTTCAAGCAATTCTCTGCCTCAGCTTCCTGAGTAGCTAGGATTACAGGTGTGTGCCACCACACCTGGCTAATTTTTGGTTTTGTTTTTGCTTTGATCAGTTTTGAGATGGAGTTTTGCTCTGTGGCCCAGGCTGGAGTGCAGTGGTGTGATCTTGGCTCACTGCAACCTCCACCTCCTGGGTTCAAGCGATTCTCCTGCCTCAGCCTCTCGAGTAGCTGGAATTACAGGTACGCACCACCACACCAGCTAACTTTTGTATTTTTAGTAGAGACGGGGTTTTACCAAGTTGGATAGGCTGCTCTTGAACTCCTGACCTCATGATCCACCCACCTCGGCCTCTCAAAGTGCTGGAACTCAAAGTGCTGGGACTGCAGGCGTGACTTAACTGCACCCGGCAGAAAATGATTTCTTTAGGTGCTACCTCCTTCAAGAAGCTCCATGGCTCCTTTCCCTCCTATCCAAATCGAGGCTGGGATAAGAGTACGATCTCACTGCTTCCATTTCTATTATGGAAACTTATCCATACTGTATTGTAATTGGCTATTTCCTTGTCTGTCCCCACACTGGAGTGTGACCTCTTCAGGGGCTGAGATTGTATCATTCATTTTTGTGTCTCAAGCGCCTAAGACAGGGCCTAGCATATAGTGCAAACTCAAAAGGTTTGGTTAATATCAAATAGCCTTGGCATCCACGGACCCTGCATGTACCTTTTCGCGAGGGGCTGGCAGGAGGTGTGACTTGGTGCGGGTACGGTTTCTGTCGGAGCTGGAGATGGTGGAAGAGAAAGGAGAGGGCTGAGAATTCTGCATTTGAGGATCAGGGCAGAAGAGAATGGAAGTACACAGTTCAAACATCTCCCTGCCCTGCTGGGATGTTGTGAAACCCCTGCTCTCTCCCCTTCAGGCTCCTCATTTCTCTCCCTGGATAAAGAGCATCTCCCTTGAAGCCTCACTCACCGGGTGTCTGTGCCTCGGGTCTTGGTGAAGAATGCTGGAAATAGAGGCCCCAGTCAGAGAAAGGACTATCCCCATGGCCAGGAAGAGAATTTGGACAGGGCAGATGGGGCTAAGGGGATTCTCGGTCAGTAGTGAGGAGTGGGCACTGGGTTAGCGGGTGAGGGGGCGCTTTGCAGGTCCTAGAGCTGGCTGTGAGAGGGGCGAGATGGGCACAGATTCCTGGAGGCCTCAGCTAGGGGTGGGAGGGCTCAGGGACTGGAACCAGGCATGGGGGGAGGAGGGGGCAGTTCTGTAGACAGTGATCCTGAGGCAGGGGTTATACCCTGTGTGGATATCTGAGTCGCTTGGTCTTGTGTCTGCTTTTTTTTGATGGACACAGGGTTCAAATGGCAGCAAGCCATAAATAAAGCCTCCTCCGTGAGTTCTGCACTGATCCGGGACAGGTATTCCTCAGAACTTGATAACGAAGCCTGGGAAAGGAAAAGGCGGGGGGTGGGGGGGGGTTCAGCCCGGGAGCTCCCATATGGGAGTGCTGGGTGTGGGAGCTCCTGGGCTGGGGCCTCTGGGTCCAAGGAGCTTGGTCTTGGAGTACTGGGCCCTGAGATTTAGCTAGAAGGCTCTGGATCTGGGGGAGGTGGATTGGGGGGGGGTGTTGCAGAGTCAGGGCCTAGTGCTGAGGGCTATGGGTCTGGGCTTCTGGGCTCAGCGTTGAGATTAGAACCTCAAGGCTAACGGCTCAGACCTGGGACGGGCACCTCTGCCTGGGAGGCCTTCGCTTCCTTACACTCCCACCTCTGCGGTACCCTGCAGCGCTCACCGAACCTCCTCTCGAGGAGGGTGCAGCTTGAGACGGCCAGCTGTCCTTCTTCTCCCCCTCATTCCCCATCGGAGTGGACGCCATCCCCCTGGGAACAGTGGAGACCTGTATTGGCCTGAGAAACCCGCCCGCTTTCCCCAGAACCCAGCCCACCACCATTCCCCGGGCCCAGGTTTAAACAAGGCCTTTCGAGGAAACATCCCGCTGCATTCCCTCTCTCAATAATAATAATAATAATAATAATAATAATAATGTTGCCTTATATCTTCAGGAGAGAGGGGAACCTCCCACAGCCCCCACCTCTTCGCCCGGTGGGGCCTCGCCTTCCTTCTTCCCTCCCAAGCCCTTTCCCAAGGCAAGGCAGCCAACTTGCCGCCCCAGACCTGGCAGATGGGTGGCAACCTTGGGCTACTCGGCAGAAGGAGATTCGGGGAGGCCTAAGGACCTCTGGTATAGGTCGCGGAGGACAGGGAATGGGAGATGGGGAGGAAGGCTGGAAAAGGGGGAGCCGGCTCCGTGATGCTACCGGCCGCTATAAACCCTCGGGATCTGCGGAGGTTCCGCAGCCTCGTTGCTAGGAGATCAGGGGTTCTAGAACTAAAGACAGAGACATTTCCTAGCGCGCCCCGTTTGGTCCTCCAGCCTCCCCTCCATACCCCTCCAGGTGCCTCCTTGGGGACAGTGACCCCAAACACCAGAGGATTGAGAAGCTTGAGAGGATGACGTAGCGGTGGAGCCTGCGACCTAATCCTCCCACCACAAGGGGCAAGCGAGAAGCAACCTGGCTGCCGGGCGATCTGGAGCCTCTCTAGCCACCTGGAGCCTGAGAGAGCAAAGGCGGCTGCAGACTTAGGGGGCGGGGAGAAAAGTACGGGCTGCACCAAAACTCCTGAACTCTCGGGGGTGCAAAAACTCAGGAGGGCGGAATTCTATCGCCTTATCTTTGTCTCAGGAAGCTACATACTCCTCAAAAGAAAATTAGACATTTTTATCCGGCCTCCTTCTCTTTTGCTCCTTCCTTTTCCGTCCCTACCTTTGCTCGACGTCGATAATTCCTTCCTCCCTCTCCCCTTCTGCGTTTTGGTACGAGCCAAGGGAGAGGGGCGGAGGGAGGAAAGGGAAGAGGAAGCAGACAGGTCTTAAAGGGGACGCAACTATTTTTTCTAGCTTTTTTTTCCTCTCTCCAATTTTGCAACGACTGGCCCGGAGGACGAGGTTCCCGGAAGCCCCGCGCATCTGGAGCAGCAGTGACCGCAGCTGGAGGCGGGAGCGTCTGCGGGGCGGGCGGAGGCTAGGGGGCTGCGGGTCAGAAGGGCGGGCTGCGCGCGCCCCCTGCGCCCGGCTCGCCTCGGGGCCGGCCCGTGCTCCCGACTGCTGCGGGCTTCAGCATCTGGTGCCGGGTGAGGGCGGCGGGGTCCAGGGCGCAAGTGACTCGGTTTATGCGCTGGGCCGGAGGCTGAGGCCGCGACAGCGCTGGCATCTCCAGAGCGGGCCCGGGGCGGCAAGGGGGGCGCCGGGATGTCAGACGAAAATATCTTCTTGTTCGTGCCCAATCTCATCGGTGAGTGCTGCCCGGTGCCCCGGATCGGACGGGAGGGCCAGGGGCCTTGGCGGCCTCCCTGATCCCACCCTGTCTCCCCGCGTCCCGTTCCAAGGTTATGCCCGGATTATCTTCGCCATCATTTCTTTCTACTTCATGCCCTGCTGCCCCCTCACGGCCTCTTCCTTCTACCTGCTCAGCGGCCTGCTGGACGCTTTCGATGGACACGCTGCTCGCGCTCTTAATCAAGGTGACAGACACCCCTCCCAGCCAGCCTTGGGGCCCAACAACCCCCTGCCCCCTTCCCCTGCCTCCTTGGGACCTCAGGGTCAGAGGGCTGTCATTCCCATCTCTGAAAAAAGCAGAACAGGATGTTCTGAGGTTTTTGTTTTGTTTTTTGTTTTTGAGACAGGGTCTCGCTCTGTCACTTAGGCTGGAGTGCAATGGCGCGATCATGGCTCTCTGCAGCCCCCATCTCCTGGGCTCAAGTAATCCTTCCACCTCAGCTTCCTGAATAGCTGAGACAACAGGCACTTGCCGCCACACATGGCTAATTTTTAAACTTGTGTAGAGACTGGGTCTTGCAGTGTTGCCCAGACTGGTCCCCAGCTCCTGGCCACAAGCGATCCTCCTGCCTTGCTCCCAAAGTGCTGCGCCCAGCAAGAATAGACTGATTTTGTAGCAAAAACGATTTAAGCTAGCTCTTGAGAATTCTCTGCTTGTGAGAGGTGTGGATCAGCAAGACATGACATGGCCGTGGCGCTGCTGAAGATCTCTCTGAATACAAGTCCATTTAGTCAGTCACAGTGGCTCACGCCTGTAATCCCAGCACTTTGGGAGGCCGAGGCAGGTGGATCACGCGGTCAGGAGTTCGAGACCACCTGGCCAACGTGGTGAAACTTTGTCTCTACTAAAAATACAAAAATTTGCCAGGTGTGGTGGCCTGTAATTCCAGCTACTCGAGAGGCTGAGGCAGGAGAATCTCTTGAACCCAAGAGGCAGAGGTTGCAGTGAGCTGAGATTGCGCCACTGCACTCCAGCCAGGGCAACAGAGGGAGACTCCACCTCGGGGGTGGGGGGGGGGGGGGGGTGGGGAGTCCATTCAACAGGTGTTTACTGGAGGCCTACTGTGTGCCCTGCATAAGCAGTTGGTTTCCAGAAGGCATGTTTAGAGGGAGGATGGAGAAGGAAGGGTGATGGCTTCTAGAGGGTTGACAAATTTTTTCTTTTTGTTCTTTTGTTTTTTGAGACAGAGTCTCGTTCTATTGCCCAGGCTGGAGTGCTGTGGTGCAATCTTGGCACACTGCAACCTCCACCTCCTGGGTTCAAGTGATTCTTCTAACTCAGCCTCCTGAGTATCTGGGATTACAGGTACACACCACCGCGCCCAGCGAATTTTTTGTATTTTTAGTAGATACGGGGTTTCACCATGCTGGCCAGGCTTGAACTCCTGACAGTGTGATCCCCCCACTTCAGCCTCCCAAAGTGCTGGGATTACAGGCATGGGCCACCACACCCGGCTAATTTTTTCATCTGTTCTCCAGAGCCACTTCTAAGGCTTCTCCTGAGGCATCAAGTTTCTTGGTCTAGCCCTGGAGTCTTGGTTCTGGGGTTGATGAGTTGCAGACACAGATTTCCTTTCTCCTACCCTGTTCCCTCCACTCTCATGCCTTCTCAGTCCATGTCATGGTGACCTTTCCCACTGACCTCACACACAGGCTGTTTTCCAGCCTGCGTTCCTCTCCAGGCTGGTGGACACTTTGAGTCTTCACTTACACCCTGGATCAGAGTGATAAACCAAATATGGGCACTTGTCCTGCATCCACTGTACCCTAACAGCCCCTGCCCACCTAATAGCCCCTATCTTCCAGGAACCCGGTTTGGGGCCATGCTGGACATGTTGACGGACCGCTGCTCCACCATGTGCCTGTTGGTCAACCTGGCCCTGCTGTACCCTCGAGCCACGCTGTTCTTCCAGCTCAGCATGAGTTTGGATGTGGCCAGTCACTGGCTGCACCTTCACAGGTGTGTGGAGATTCTGGGGGCCTTGGCCAGTTGGAGACACTACAGTGGGGTGAGGGGAGCCTAGGTGGAAGGGTGTCTGGGATGGCATTAGGTGTCCTGGGAGGGCGCCTTTTTAGCTCTGCTTTGTAGAAGGGCCCCAGGCAAACCTGCCTGTCTTAGAATCAGCTTCAGTCATGTTTACAGTTGCATTAAGCAATTCTTAGGACTCTTCCAGCTGGATATTCTAGGATTCCAAATAGGTGACAGCTTGCAGGAAGGGGCATGGAGGCTTTTGAATGTGGCATTTAAAGCCTGATTCTACCCTCAGATAGGTAACTGTGGCTTTGGGCAGGATACTGGTCCTTAGCCATGCCCAGTTTTCCATCCATACAATAGGGGCTAACATGATCAGATGCAGGGTAGTGGTCATAAAGCTCGTGGGTTCTCCTGTTTTCTTCCCAAGTTCTGTGGTCCGAGGCAGTGAGAGTCACAAGATGATCGACCTGTCTGGGAATCCAGTGCTTCGGATCTACTACACCTCAAGGGTGAGCGTTTCCTGCGTACCTTGCCCCTCATGCTCTTGGCTGTGGGAAGTCCTGGGCTGAACCCTGGTCCTAGGCTAGGAGAAGGCACAGAGCAGGGCCTGCCCAGTCGCTCCAGGAGGGGGGGCCTGTAAGCCTAGGCGTGGAGGAGGAGGATTGGTTGTGGGGGGGGCCTGTGTGAATTACTCCAGGGAGCAAGTATGAGGCCTGCTGAAGAGGAGGGAGTGCGAGGCGGGAGGGAGATAAAGCCAGAGAGGTCTGCAGGGCTGGACTGTGGACTTGATTCCAGGAACACAGGCAGCCTCTGAAAGGATTTTTAAAAAGCTAAGTAATGGCTGGGTGTGGTGGCTCATGCCTGTAATCCCAGTGCTTTGGGAGGCTGAGGTGGGAGGATTGCTTGAGGCCAGGAGTTTGAAACCAGCCTGGGCCACAAAGTGAGACTGTTTCCACACACACACAAAAATCGAATTAGCTTAGCCAGGCACAGTGGTGCACGCCTCTCGTCTCTACTTAAGGTGGAAGGATCGAGTGAAACCAAGAGTTTTGTTTTTTTTTTTTTTTTTTTTTTTTTTGAGAGAGACTTGCTGTGTCACCCAGGCTGGAGTTCAGTGGCACGTTATTGGCTGACTGCATCCTCCATCTGCCGGGTTCAAGCAATTCTTGTGCCTCAGCCCTCGAGTGGCTGGGACCATAGGCACACACCACCACGCTCAGCTAATTTTTTGTATTTTTAGTAGAGATGGGTTTTGCCACATGGCCAGGCTGGTCTCAAAGTCCTGACCTCAGGTGATCTGCCTGCCTCAGCCTCCCAAAGTGCTGGGATTACAGGTGTGAGCCACCACGCCCAGCCTGAAACCAGGAGTCTTGAGCCTGCAGTGCTATGATCATACCACTGCATTCTAGCCTAGATGACAGAGCGAGACCCTGTCTCTAAAAAAGAAAAAAGAAGTAATGTGCTGAGATTGCACTCTCCTTAGTGCTGGGGGACGGGGTGGCACACGCCTGCCTCTTGGTAACTTGGCCTGTCTGCTGTGTGTGCAGCCTGTCCTGTTCACCTTGTGTGCTGGGAATGAGCTCTTCTACTGCCTCCTCTACCTGCTCCATTTCTCTGAGGGACCTTTAGGTAGGAGATGAGGGGCTGGACAGAAGGATGGGAGGGGGCTCTGGCCTGCCCCGGGGGACGAAGTTCCCCTCCTTCGGTCCCCAAACTTCCCTGCTGCCTTCCTATAGTTGGCTCCGTGGGGCTGTTCCGGATGGGCCTCTGGGTCACTGCCCCCATCGCCTTGCTGAAGTCACTCATCAGCGTCATCCACCTGGTCACAGCTGCCCGCAACATGGCTGCCCTGGACGCAGCAGACCGTGCCAAGAAGAAGTGACGCTGGAGCCCCCAGTCCTGGCTGCCCACCTGCCCTGGGAGTCGTCGCTGTGCCACACGACTCCCCACCCCCGGCTAGGAGGTCCCAGTCTCACGCCTTCCTCATGTGTTGTCCTACCTGCTGGGATGGGGGTCAGCCTCTCTTTAGTGACGTCATGTACTCTGGGATCCTGAGGACCGGGCCCACCCCTGGGATCCCCAGGGAGCCGGGCCTCAAATCAGGGAGGATACGCAGGAGGCCCCATCCGTATAGGCGGTGCTCCTGGGGTGCCAGGGCCAGGTACTGTCACACCCTGCTGGCTTAGCCCTGGAGTTTGAGATGCTAGGGACGCTTGAGTGAGGGAGATGGTGTGGGGGCTGGGTTTCCCAAAAGCAGGGGAATCAGACCTCTGCCCCCAGCCAGAGCAAGCCTGGGGCACCGTGCTCAGGAGGGAAGATTCCGTCCACAGCCTTCCCCTTCGTTGGCGCCTCTGTCCTGCCTACCCTGGTCCTGGAAGCCTTGATTATAAAGGCAGGAACTTCACTATTTGACTTGCTTTCCTTTCAGACATTCTTGGCTCAGGGCCTGGGTTGAGGGAGCTTCAGGAAGGACGTCCATCTGGGTGCTTTTCCTCCAATTTGCTGGCTGGCTTCTCCATCTGTCCACAGTGACCTCAGAGAGAGGCCACTCACGCTCATGCGGTGTCCCCACCGCCCACTTGTTTCATGTCACTGTCCACATGTATTTATATTCTTGATATTTTCTACCCTCACTAGAATGTAAACTCCATGAAGGCACAGACTTTTCTCATTCCCTTCTCTGTCTCTAGAATAAGACCAACCTGAACCTGGCATATAGTAGCTGCTTAATAAATATTCATCTGTCAATTAGTTGGTTTGTCAGAATATGGTCCTTAGACCACCTGTAGAATATTTGTTTCTCTTTTTTTTGTTTGTTTGTTTTCTTTTTTTTAGAGACAGAGTCCTGCTCTGTCACCCAGGCCAGTGGTGTAGTCCTTCACTGCAGCTCCAAACTCCTGGCCTTCAAATCATCCTCCTGCCTTAGCCTCCCAAAGTGCTATTATTGCAGGCATGAGCCACCGTGCCTGGCTGGATATTTCTTTAAATGCAACTTCGAGCCGGGTGCAGTGGCTCACATCTGTAATCCCAGCACTTTGGGAGGCCAAGGTTGGGTGGATTGCTTGAACGCAGGTGTTGAAGACCAGCCTGGGCAACGTGGCGAAACCCTGTCTCTACAAAAAATACAAAAATTAGCAAGGTGTGGTGGCATGTACCTGTGGTCCCAGCTACTCAGGAGGCTGAGGTGGGAGGAGAGCTTGAGCCTGGGAAGCAGGAGGCAGAGGTTGCAGTGATACGTAATGGTGCCACTCCAGCCTGGGGGCCAGGGCCAGTCAGTGTCAACAAAAAAAAGCAACTTCAGCCCATTGGAGGCTTATGACTGGCCTGTAATCCCAGCACTTTGGGAGGCTGAGGTGGGAGGATCATTTGAGCCCAGGAGTTTGAGACCAGCCTGGGCCGTATTGCCGGACCCTGTCTGTACCAAATATATATATTTTTTATGTATTAGTCAGGTGTGGTGGTGTGTGCCTTAGTCCCAGCTACTGGGGAGGCCAAAGTGAGAATTGAATGAGCCTGGGAGGTCAAGGCTGCAGTGAGCCATGATTGTGCTACTGTACTCCAGCCTGGGTGACACAACAAGTTGTCTTAAAAAGTGAAATGCAAGTTCTTAGATCCTGCAGCAGACCTTCAGAGTTGGAAGCTCTAGGCATGGACAGCTGGACGAGGTGGCTTGCACCTGTAATCCCAGCACTTTGGGAGGCCGAGGCAGGTGGATCACCTGAGGTTGGGAGTTCCAGACCAGCCTGAGCAACATGGAAAAACCCCATCTCTAGTAAAAATAAAAAATTAGCCAGGGGTGGTGGCACTTGCTTGTAATCCCAGCTACTTGGGAGACTGAGGCAGGAGAATCGCTTGAACCTGGGAGGCAGAGGTTGTGGTAAGACGAGATGGTGCCACTGCACTCCAGCCAGGGCAACAAAAGCAAAACTCCATCTCAAAAAAAAAAAAAAAAAAAAAGCTCCCAGAAGCCTGCAACTTCAGTGCTGGGGATTCTTCCAGTAATGTTGAGAAACACTGTTCCCTGTCTGTGGGCTCCTGTCAAATATACTAGGCATTGTTCTGGGCATCTATCCCCTACCATCTGTGGTTTTTAAACTACGGTACCGTAGGCCAGACTGTGCTGGGGGTTCTTTGCAGATGTTATTCATTCTATCTGCATAATAGCTTAGCCAAGTGGCCCAAGAAGGCCCCGTGTCTGGGAGAGTGGAAATTTACCAGACATGTAGTGGGTCTCAACTCCTGTGCTAGGCCCAGGGGAGTCACTGGGTACTGGGTGGCTGCTTTCCCTACAATATCACAGGAAAGTGCTCGTTGAGGATGGGAGTAGAAGACGCGCAAGACCTGACTTAGGGTTTGGTGAAAGGGCTGGGTATCCCATGTGGAAGGCTGGTAGGGGTGCGAGAGGAAAGCATTAGTGCAGAGATTGCGTCTTAGCTGAGAGAACGGCACGGGAAGGCAGGGCGGCCAGAGGACCCTGGGTTCTGCAGCTCTTTCTCCTTCCTATCAGCTCTTCCTCCAGCACGGTGCGTCCTCTGAGCACTCTCCAGTCCCAGAGCACGGAACCCTCAGCCCTCCTGGCTCTCATGTCCCTGACTGGCTTCCGGGCTCCTTGGTTCTAACCTGTATTTACAGTGACATCAGAAATTGGAACAGAGGCTGGCGCGGTGGCTCCCACCTGTAATCCAGCACTTTGGGAGGCCAACGGGGTGGATCATTTGAGGTCAGGAGTTGACGACTAGCCTGGCCAACATGGCGAAATCCCAACTCTACTAAAAATTAAAAAATTAGCCGGATGTAGTGGTGCACGTCTGTAGTCCCAGCTACTGTGGAGGCTGAGGTGAGAGGATTGCTTGAACCCAGGAGGCAGAAGTTGCAGTGAGCCGAGGTCATGCCACGGCACTCCAACCCAGTGACAGAGTGAGACTCCCAACTCAAAAAAAATAAAAGGCGGCAGCAGCTATTGGTGTGTTTCCAGCGTGTCAGGCACCCCCCACAGTCGCCAACCTGGCCTGCTCCAGTCAAGGCAGGACAAAAAAACAGATCTAAATCTCGTGGGCTGGAGCACCAAGTCCTGGGGGTTGGGGACTGAGAGAGCTGGGGAGAGGCAAGGAAGAGCCAGCCGGCGCGGCCTAGGAACCCAGAGGACTTTTTAAAATTTTATTTTGGAAATAGGGTCTCTGTCACCTGGGCTGGAGAGCTGTGACATGATCACAGCTCACTGCAGCCTCGACCTCTCAGGCTCAAGCAGTCCTCCTGCCTCAGCCTACTGAGTAGCTGGGACTACAGGCATGCATCACCATGCCCTATTAAATTAAAATTTTTTTTGTACGGATGGGGGGGTCTCACTGTGTTACACAGGCTGGTCTCAAACTCCTGGCCTCAAGTGACCTTTCTGCCTTGGCTTCTCAAAGTGCTAGAATTACAGGTGTGAGCCACTGCGCCCAGCCCATTTCCATGTCTTAACATTCATTTATGGAAAAGGGAAGAGCAGGCATGTGATGTCATTTCCCCTTGCATTTCATTGATGAGAGCAAATCACATCAAAGCCTGATCGCCAATCGACACGTCCATGTGGAGACCTCAAGGCACAGATTGGAAATAAGCCCAGAGCTCTTGGGTAAGGTGAGGGCTGGAGTAATGGATTCTGAGGTCAGTGGTAGAGAGACCACCTAAGGTCATAAGACTGGGCAAGGATGTCGGCATGAGAAGGGGGCCTCAGGGAACCCACAAATCAGAGTCTGAGAGAAGCAAGAAAGAAAACTAGAACAGGTGACATCAGGAAAGCCCAGCATGAGAGGAATGGCCAACTGTGCCAAGTGATAGAGTGGCTGATCAACTACTGCATTTAGCAACGAGACATGACTGGTGACGCCGAATAGAGCAGCTTCCGTAAAGTAAGGGGCGGAGACAGAAGATACCTGGGGTGGGTTTTTTTTGAGTCTGAGTTTTGCTTTTGTTGCTCAGGCTGGAGTGCAATGGCACAACCTCAGCTCACTGCAACCTCCGCCTCCCGGGTTCAAGCGATTATCTTGCCTCAGCCTCCCAAGTAGCTGGGATTACAGGCGCCCACCACCACGCCTGGCTAATTTTTGTATTTTTAGTAGAGACAGGGGTTTCACCATGTTGGCCAGGCTGGTCTTGAACTCCCGACCTCAGGTGATCCATCCACCTCGGCCTCCCGAAGTGCTGGGATTACAGGCATGAGCCACTGTGCCCAGCCCTATCTGGAGTGGTTTGAAAAGATAATGAGAGATGAGGAATGGAAAGTGAGATCACAGAGAACTCTGGAAAAATTTGGCTGTGACAGAAAAAGGAGAGGTGGGAGTTGGAGGGGCTCATAGAGTTACGAGAGTTGTTTTATATGGACAGAGTAGGCATGTCAATATCCTGATGACGATGGTTTGCAGAGAAGAAACTGACGGCGTATCAGCCGGGCACAGAGGCTCATACCCGTAATCCCAGCCCTTTGGGAGGCAGAGGCAGGCGGATCACTCGAGGTCAGGCGTTCATGACCAGTCTGGGCAACATGGCAAAACCCCATTACTAAAAATACAAAATTAGCAGGGCATAGTGGTGCATGACTGCAGTCCCAGCTACTTGGGAGGCTGAAGGAGGAGAATCACTTGAACCCAGGAGGCGGAGGTTGCAGTGAGGTGAGATCACGTCACTGCACTCCAACCTAGGTGACAGAGCAAGACTGTCTCAGAAAAAAAAAAAGGGAAAAAGAATGATAGCACAGAAGAGGAAGGCGATCAGTGGAGGAACACAGCCCTCCCTCCTAGAGCTGACGGGTGGGGTGGGGGGGAACCCTGGCCGGGAACAGGAGGGAGGGCAGAGTCCAGATGCCAGCAGTTTGTTAGGTTTGTTGCCGGGAAGGGCCTTCCTACCCAATTTGCTTCTATTTTCTCAAAGAGGTGAGAGAAAGTGGGCAGGGGCGTAGGAGGCTGAGAAGAGAGGTGGTGTGAAGGGTTGTCTCAAAGCAGATCGCACACAAGACAGAGCAGCAGTCACAGGAGCTGTACCTCCCCCAAAGTTTGTGGCCATGAGTTTAAAATAAGATCAGTCAGCTCCAAGGGGTGTTCCTCCTCCAGCAATGTGCAGCTGGCCAGGGGCACTGCAGAGAGGGAGGGAGGTGGTTTAAGAAGGGATGGGGTTTTTAAGGAGGGATGGGGCTTTTTGGAATAAATATCACAGGGAAGGGAAGATCAAGGAGTTAGGGAGGCTTTTAGGGGGTTGTTTTTAATAGAAACAGGGTCTCCCTCTGTTACCCAGGCTGGAGTGCAGTGGTGTGATCATAGCTCACTGCAGCCACCAACTTCAGAGCTCAGGCAGTCCTCTTACCTTAGCCTCCAGAGTAGCTGGGAACTCAGGTGCATGCCACCACACCTGGCAAATTTTTTAAGAGATGGGGGTCTTGCTATGCTGGCCAGGCTGGTCTCAAACTCCTAGTCTCAAGTGATCCTTGTGCTTTGGCCTCCCAAGTCACTAGGGTTTACAGGCCTAAGTCCCTGCACTCAGCCCCTAGGATGTTTTTACTTCCTTGGCAGAGATGGGGCGGGCCTGGCACTTACAACTCTACCTGGCCTGCAAAGGGCTGGTGCACCCAGGCTAACTGCACCTGGATCCTTCTCTCAAACGAGGGCCCCTTACTGCTTGTGGGGCAGAGGGTAGGATGAGGGCATCCCTCCCTCAGTGTTCCCAGAAAACCCAGACCAGAAGCCCAAGGAGATGCCCAATTCCTACTGCCCTGG